TCATTTACCTAGAATCTGACGAACTTCTTACATCTACTACTATCTATGATCGACTGCAAAATCATCGACATAGGCTTACACCTACTACTGACGCGGAAGACGCTTCAAAAAGGGGGTATTAATTTACATTAGTATTTATGCGAGGCCTACCTACTCTAGCTGTGTTGTTTACATTTCGTTACTATGGTTACATCATTCGTTTCTGTTGCAAGATTTTGAAAGCGTGTCGGTTTCGCCATAAAATGCACAGTTTTAACATAGAAAGACAATCAGGTTAAAACACAGATCCTATTTCGTTTCGTTTTTATAGTTCAAAATTTCGTTTTACTTGTCTTTACTACACTTGGATCTGGAAGACTTGTTATTTAACTCGTGTTCTGCTTGAAAAGAGGGGTCAGCCAATCAAATGGTCTGTCGAATCGAGTGTTTGACCTTTTTTGCCCGGAACTGTGGGTAATCCACTAGTATCATCAATGCTGATTGGTTAATCAAATGTCTGACGTCATTATTTATTGTTGGTGCTATTGGTATATCCCCCATGTTCCTGAAGCAACGACTGCGAGTTTCACAACATCTGGCCGTTGCTTGTTTACTTCACAATTCCCGAACTTATAGCTATGTTATTTACAGACACGTGAGCAGTAGCATCCAATCAGAGGTTGTGACATCGCGACCTCCACGGAAACCTCGACATTGAATGAACCTTGAACTTTGCAACTCGATTATCTCAGGTAGACATTTTAGCTTGAAAACGCCAGACTTGGTATTCGCGACGATCGAGGAATATGATAGGCTCACAAGTTGGGCTTGTACCCAATCGAAATTAGTGTCTCAATATGCAGGGTATTACGTGAAGGCCTTGATAAGATGTACGTTAAAGCGAGATCAAACCTTCTATTGAAGATGTATATCCCTAGGCCACGCAATTGACCATGTTTATGCATCCAGTTAGCTTTCGTCACTTCCATTTCTTCAAATCTTCATTATGCATCTATCGTAGCAATGATATCCGTGTTAAAATTATATTTATTGTTATTATTATTATTACAGCATATTTATAGTGCACCCTTTCATATAACATGTTCATGGGCGCTTTACATGTTTAACCACATGTCTGATAATGGCTAACACCAATATTGTCCTTTAAACTGGAGTTTGAATACCACTTACTCTTAAATAACAGGAAGTTACGCATATTTAAGTGAAACCTAGTAGTTAAGAGACTGACTTAGACTTAAAGCTCCCTTTGAAAACGGACCTAGGTATCTAATATGTTGGGTACGTTGTATTAAATAGTTTAAACAGTCAATCATTCTATGAGATAGAAAGTTGATAACCACCATTCACGATTTAACTCCTGAACTACCTGCTTTTGATGAAATGAAATGGGGTTTAACGTCCTACTGTTCTGTGCTGACTGAGGTAATGAGCCATACGGTGTGCTATGAGCGAAATTTGTGTACACGGGACCTAGGTTTTTAATCCCATCCGAACGACTGCACGTTGTCCCTTTTCAGACCCTCCGTCAAGGGGTGTGTCAGTGTGTGTGTGTGGGGGGGGGGGCTGGAGAATCCTGATGAGCTTAGTCGGTCAACACAGGGATCGAAAACGGGACTACCAGGTGAGCGGTGGAAAATACCGTTCATTTACATAACAAGCAGAACAAACATGGTTACCTGAAGACTGTGGTCAGTCAGATAGAACCACGAGTTGAACACGGCCTATATAGTCCTACACACAAGTGTGGTCATGCCAAGCTCTACCTGTCGTTTGTTGCACATGGATGGACTAGAGTTAGTGAATGAAGTAAAGTTGAACTATAGATCATTATTGTAATTAAATAAAGCAACATAAAAGCTACAACTTATCAGACTTTTCATTGATAGTTTTCTGGTAAGTTTTGATTTTACCTTCCGAATATTTGAAAGTGTTATTTTATTTTCAAATGGAATTTTTATTTATTTAATTTAAGTGTATGTTTGATCCATCACGCATGTATGGCTATATTAATTTAGAAATTTTAAACATTGCGTAACTCTCATATATCGTTTTGAAGCAATTAGCTCAGTTTGGAATTTCTGTAATGACTCCGACTTTATATGCCTATATTGTAATATGGTTGTATTTATCGTCGTCACCCATGACCTTCCGCCTGGCCGTGGGCTCATATAATACGGTGCTGGCTCCATGATTTAATACCGTTGTTGGCCGAGAAAATCCCCTCGGATTTTCCAGTGTGGTTTCCCCTTGTGAGCGGTGCAGCGTCGAGAGCCTTGCAAGGAACAGTGTCTAGTCGTTTGTATGAGACAGAAAATTTCCCTCACTGCTTGGCGTAGCCCGCCTTTATTAATTCGGTTGGTAAATAATTTGTACAATGTGTCGTTGTTAGTTTAATGAATTTTAATGTTATATAGCCATAAGGATGAAGTAAGCAAATGGGTTGATCGGATGACAGATCCTTTACAATCTTTTTGTGAAGCATCCTGGTCATGGGTGAACGAACCCTGTCGATATTCAGCGTACTGCGAATTCCCGTTCCAGAAACCTGTCGATTTTAACGGTTCTTTTTTCAAATTTGGTGGGAATCAATGGGGGTCATGAGTGGATGAATCCAATGATAATCTGTGTTCTGTGATATTGCATTCAGGAGGCAAGCACTCCCACCCCCCTTCCCCCTCCCCCACCTGCCGAAATCCCTATGAACGCAATAAAGACTATAGTTTTAAACAAATCTTTTTGAAATTTTGTAAGAAGCACGAGGGTGGGTCACCATGACAGGATCGAAAATCAGCATCCTGCGATCTGGCGTTCTAGAGGACCCCCCCCCCCTCCCCAGCCCTATTTTTTTTAACATATCTATTTCAAATTTGGGGGTAAGCAATCAGGTCGTGAGTGAGTGGACTTCTATTCCGGAGTTACCCCCGCCCCCACCCACCCCTTTTGCGGAAAACCTTGTGAACGGGATAGTAATTAACTGATTTATTTCAAATTTGGTGCAAAGCATTGGGATCATGAAATTAAAGGACAAACTCTATCGATATTCTTTTATTTGTTGTATTAAAGCGACAAAACCCAATCAATCATATCTAAAGGCTCTATAGGGGGACAATTGATTGCATTTGTTATGACGATATGTAGAAGAGTGTTTAAATCTGGCTGATCTTACAGGGACGTGGGTATGATCCAAACATTAGCTCCTATTGAGTTCTGACATGTGTCAATACTACTATTGTGAACCTGGTAAGGTATGCCAAATTATAAGCCCACATATGATCATCTATTGCTGCTGCTAGTTCAACATTCCGTTGTAAACACTCTGAAAACTACATTTTATCATCTAATCGGTATTGTTCAGATTGGTCAGACAATGAACTCAATCTAATTTCAACAATTTCTGTTAATCGTATAGACTTTAAAGAATAGCGTCATAAAGTCTTTCTTGTTGTGTGGTCTGTGGTGAAATCAAGTTCACGCTACTAATAAACCCGAAAGAAATGTATAAAAAGAGTCAATATGTAAATGCCCTTATATAATACCCATAATACTGATATTTAAAGATCTAACAAAGAGATATTGAACATTTGTTTATGTAATTTACCAAATATGGCAATATTCAATAGGTGCTACTGAACCTACATGATTGTTAAATTTGAAAAAAAAACCATTCATTTCATATCAGTAGGTCTATCCTAGCAAAGACCTAATATTAGTCTCCGATAGGAAATATTTAATATATTCAATATTCAGAGAAACAAAAACATAAACAGATATGGAATATATTTTATGATCAATAACAATTGGAACAATTTATCATAAGTAAATGAATAAATGAGTAAATTGAAAGAAAAAGAGAGGAAAATATTTGTTATGAATAAGGTATTAAGATTTCCGTGTTTGTTTTTACGGAATATTACTTACGCTTCACTTGTTCTTATGGTCTACTGAACACAGTCACTGTTTATTGTGAATCAAAAATCTCCCTGATAAGCAATCTACTAAGAAAAAATAATAGCTATAGTACATATGTATATAAGATATTTAACAAATAACCAAATATTTTCCTGATTTGACCTTTTTTGGCCTTTCTTGGAATTTTGACAAAAGAAAGTCAATGCTACAATTCAGAACATATTTCTATGGGAGGATAATAAAATAATGATACACATAATAATATATTCCCTTTCTTTTGGTATTAAAGAAATGGTAAGAAAATAATAACGATAAAATATCAGACATTCTTGCCTCCTTGTGGGTAAAGGCGTTGTGTGGGGGCTTCCAATCAAACAGAGAATATTAAATTTAAGTTTTTTTAAATTGTTGCTGTTAATTTTGTAGTTCAGGTCTCACTTGCTGGTGGGGTGGGGTGAGGTTGATGGCCGAATGGTTAGCGCGTTCCCGTTGCATCGTAAGTTCTGTCATTGAGTCAACTGGCGCGGTTTCGATTCCCCGCTTGTACGATACAAGAAGTAGGGTCGCCTGTCCAACCTCGTGGGTTTTCTCCGGACCCTCCGGTTTCCCCCCACTGCTAAAGGCCCCTACGCGCAAGCGAACTGATGAAATGATTTTATCGTTTCAGGCTTTGACTATAGACCAACTACCGTTTCAGACTTTGATTGGAGATCAACTATTGGTGTTCAAGACTTAGTTGAAACAAACAAGATCCATTCTTTTATATTAAACGCTGTGTCTTGGTTAAAACCTCCATTATGCATCTAGATGAATTAATGATTGACATAGGTGACTTGGGTTGGTACCAAATCGTCATCGTGTCCTGTTTCCTGTCAACGAAGATTCCAGTAGCTTTTACCATGTTGGAGATGGCGTTTACTGGCTTTATTCCAGATTGGTGGTGTGATTCGATGCCAACATCGGATCTTGTAAGCAATGGCAACAACCATACCACCTACTTAGTTACCAATGGCAACATGAGTAGTCATAGTATTAGTTTAAACCAATGTTATGGCACTGGCAACGCAACAGTTTGTAAACGAGAATTTGATATGAGCAAACGGACCATCGTGAATGAGGTAAACGTACATTTGATTATTTTTTTCATCGCCATCACATTTCATGGAACGTTTAAATTTTCAGAGGCACTAGATTCAATAAATTTACGGAGAACCTCACGCGGTTAGGAAGGTAACCCTTGTCCATGTCAGACATAATCCTGGGCTTTAAATCAGACCACACCCACGTGCACACCCTCGCTCATTAAGCAGGGTTCTGAATACATTCTCAAATTAACCGGCCACTGGTAACTGATGGTCGTTTTTTTTCAACAACACGTACCTTTGTTTATGCCATATTTGTTGTCTCTGCCATTTCTACTGAACTTGTGAACACAAGACGTTTTCGTAGACAATTATTGTTTCTGTAAGTTGTATGACTACCTTGCATTCTGTTTGTATTACAGTGGGACCTTGTCTGTGAAAACAGGTGGATAAGCTTTACAATTACATCCGTTCAGATGTCAGGGGCGTTAGTTGGAGCTACTATTGTCAGTTACACCGGAGACAAATTTGGTAGACGCATAACACTTTATGTCGTACAGTTGCTCCATCTCATCTTCCTTGGTATTTGTGCTGCGTCACAGTCTTGGCATTTGTTCACAGCTATGAGATTTGGTATCGGGTTGTCAGCTGGTGCCACGATTGTGGTGTGTTTTCCGGCTTCCATTGAGTTTGTGGGAAAGAAATGGCGAGCGTTGCTTGGTGCATTTCCAGTCTGGTCTACAGCAGCACCATTTTTTCCATTAATCACATGGCTCTTCCCATATTGGCGCCATTTCGAAATCATCGTTTGCATCATCAATTTTCCTATTTGCTTAGGTTTTTTGTAAGTTAATTTCTTTATTTGGTTAATATTTAAGTCAAATCTTTAATAGAACTTTATCTACCCCAATGGGGATTTAGAGCTTAGACCTAATAGGCTACGTTCTGTAATGAATTTGATGTTCATTTCGTCTTATTGAAAGCTTTTTCGTGGATAGTGTCTAAAGATATAACACATTTGACATGACAAAGTTAAGTTTCAACATTCATGTTTATATCACTACGATCCTGGAATCGGTTGCATACACTTGGAAATCTTCTTGTTCTTGTTCTTGGGCTTCCCCAATCCATGGACGATCGACGTGAAACTTTGACAAATGAGCATCAATTGAAGGTCTTCACTTATTGATATAAAACCATAATTCCAAGATGGCTGCAATAGCAGCAGGCTTGGTTTGTGGTTCATACAGACTCTCCAACTTGTTATTTAAAGATTATTAAAATTATTAATAATTTATAACTTATTACAATTTTTGAATTAGTTCTCCGGGGTATCTAACACAACTTTTTTTATTTGGTTTACTGCGACTTTAAGGTGTTTTTTTTAATTTATTTTATAAAGTATTGTACCAGAAAGTATCAGATGGTTAACTGTAAAAGGGAAGTTAAAGGAAGCAGCGGCAGTAGCATGTAAAATTGCCAGCAAAAACAAAAAGCCAGAACCTAATACTGACATCCTGAAACTGGTAGCAGAAGACGAAAAAGGGATCAACAAAACGTTTTCAAGTTATACTCATTTGGATTTATTTCGTGACAAACGAATGACTCTGATAACTTTACGTGTCTGGTATTCCTGGTAAGTAGGACATTCCTCTTGCAAAGTTAACATAGTAAGTTTGAAAACAAACCTCAAAAACTCTGACCCGTAGAAAGTTTCTGCATCAGAGGCAATAAATCTGCTGTAAATAACCATTTCTCTTGGGACTATCTGAACAATAGTAAGTTTCAAAGCAAACTCTAACCCGTAGAGTGTTTAAAAGGTTTTGCTGACAGGGGTTAATAACTAAAACTCATACAAGATTCTGAATTTCGATGGGGTTTCTTTTTATGAATAGCTGAACATTCTCAGCAAGTTTAAAAAAAACGAACCTCAAAAACTCAGAGCATTTAAATGTGATCATATTAAAAGATTTTTCTATGCAGTCCCATATCAAGGTACCATTATTAGGTCTTAAGGGAATATATATTTAATTGACTGATTTATTATGAAATTGCAATGTTTCCTTTTAGCGTTAACATGGAATTCGAAAACTTCTGTAGCTTTTGTATATTGAAGACATCTTTGCTAGCGTAGACTCGGTTAACCAGTCACTCATTGATGAGCACACAATGGGTCCGAGTTTGACAACTTGTACCCAAATATATAAATAATTATTATAGCATGCACATAGCAGTGAGTACAACTTTTAGGCTCACTTCTAAGATTTAGAGAAACACCCTGTATGTATAATACAAGTTTACTTGAGAAAATGAAGCAAGAGATATCCCGAAAACTGCTTATTTTATACTTAAATTATTTTTTTTCATCATTAATGGCTTCTTAATTTGAAAATATTTGTCTTCATTTTGACAAACCATAACATCCTTATTTCTAATACTTTCTGACCTCCTATGTACTAAATCCGCTTAAATTTATGAGGCCCATCACGACTGGTGTAAAAGCATTTCTCATTGATGTTCCTTACAGCAGGTACTTCTGGTGCAGTAACCCGTTCCATTGGAGCTCCATACAATCAGTTCCCACGGATTCCCACAGATTTTCTTTGATATTGGTCCTTGTGGTGGTGGTGATCCCTACTGTGCAAAGGTGCCTTGTATGCCTTAATAGTGCTATATGGTGTTTTTTACTTGTGAAAGTCAGCAGGCATTTCCGGCTTGGTCCCCCCCTTGTCAGTTGTGTCCTAGAAAGGGACAACACAAAGTCGTTCGGACGGGTGGAAAAACTGAGGTCCCGTGTACACATTATCGTGCACATTAAAGCAGCCTTGACAGTTGTTGTCCGAGCAAATGTTCAAAATTACCCCCATAGCCCATTTCGCGGCCATCTTGGTGCAAAAAAAATAAAACATTTCCTTTCATTTCATATAATTGTATTCCATTTCCGTAAAGGAATTGCCCTATGATAAATCTAACCATTACTTAAACGTTTAAAATAAAATAAGTTTTATTAAATTTCTTCCAGATCCCAAACGCGTGTCTCTTTAATTCCAACCTATTTACAGTGAAATGTTTGATATATAAATTGTATCTTATATTTGAAATCAAAAGGTTTACCTCCGCTGTTTGTTATTGGTGCCTTATCCTTGGAGTACAAAATATGTCAGGGAATTTTTATCTCAACTTCTTTCTAGTATCTATCGTGGAGATTCCAGCATCCTTACTAATTCTACTCTTTGTTAACAGGTAAGACACTTTCCTTTTACTGACTCATTTGTAAAAGCTGGTTTTCATATAGTTCGCGAGTGTTTACCGCTACATGTGATAGTCTTGTGACTCAAATCAAATATTATAATCATGATAATGCAGTCACATGCAGTAACACTTGAGGAGACCAAATCTTCCAACTGTGTAATGCTTTGTGATAGTTACTGTTACAAATGTTGACCAGTTACAATCAGAAATATAGGCCTTTTTTGTTGAGAGGTCGGGGGAGGGGGTTTCTATTTTTTCAAAGGTTCCGTAGCAACCCTGCACATAATGAAAAAGCTCAAATATCTTACTATTTAATCCTACCATGCTTACATGCCTGGGATTTGTGTGCCAAAATCTTTATCTTAAAGCTTATAACTATATGGAAACTCGTATTTACAAGATTTATGTTGTTACCATGATCTGACCGATCAGATTGAGATCTGGCGTGGACCATTAGTTCCTTCCGATGAACATTTCTTTGCTAATCGTAGTTTTAAGTAACATGTGGACATAATAATCCCAGGGCAGCGCGTATCGGTTAGTACTACACTAGAACCACTGATAGTGACAGATTTGTTAACATTTGAATAGAAGCACAACATCAGTGGACCAGCACCCGGCTAGAACCAAAAGCCAAATTGGATCATCCAGACATGCTGACAGAACATTAGATAACATCATCCAGGCGGGCTGACAGTACGGTAGATGCCACCAACAAGACAGGCTGACAGAACAGCGGATAGCATCATCCAAAGTTCCTGACAGAACAGCAAATATCATCATCCAGACTGTCCGACGGAACAGCAGATAGCACCATCCAAATAGGCTGACACAACAGGGGGATATCATCAGCCAGACAGTGGACATCTGGTGTCATTCAGACGGTCTGACATTCAGCTAAAGCATCAGACAGCACCCACCCCCACCCTTAATACACTAACACTTGCTTAGAATTCAAAATGTCATCCCGCGAATGGCGCTCTTCTCAAACTCCAGATAGAATCCTAGAGATGTAGGAGGGGTATATTATTATTTACTATTATAAAACTGCCACAACATGAGTTTTTCCCGGTTCATGATATTGATTAGCGGTGTAGAGAGCAACCCTGGTCCAACAAATACCAGACAAGGCACCCTCAGTAAGACTAGAGAAGTTGTTTATCAAGAGAAGAAAAATATCGGACACGGCCTAATGGCTATGTTTCAGTTTCTCAAAAATGATATTACCGAACTTATAAACCAGGTAAATAATTAAATATAAAAAAGAACTTAGAGAAATTAAAAAAGATGTGAAAGAGTTTAAGACAGAGAATGAAAAATTGAACCAAAGAATATATAACTTTTGTCATCTTTGTTGCCAAAGAGTGAGGATTTATCTATTGTAGAACCACTGTCTACTAAAAATCTTTGTTACGAACAAAATGCTTATACCACCATAACCATGATGAGTTCGGATAATACTTGCCAGAAAATAAATATTGACTTTCCCATAGGATTTTTATCATGTTGGTTTCATTTCTACTGTATATACACTTTTACCCCGCTGACAATGTAGTGAAAGCGATCTTTAACAATGTAATTTTTTCGTTCTTTTCATGGAATTAATTTTAGATAGATAATACCTGGGGGTAATTTAATTGAACTTAGATTGACATGGGATCATTTAATAACATCCACCAGCAGATGGAATGGTGAGGGAATATCATCAACAATACGAATGTTTTCAAGACGAACTCATTTATTCGAGGCCCGCCCTTATTAAAAGAAATTGCCAGAATTAAATTTATTTATCTGTATTTTTTTATTTTCATTTAGAAAACGTTTTGGAAGAAGATGGTCAACAGCCATGTCAAATATTGGTGTAGCTTTAGGGGCCCTTGGGGCTATTATAGCGTCTTTGACGGGTAGGTAGATAAATCTACAATTTCTGCTGTACTTTTACATTTGATTCAGTCAGTGTCCTCTGCCAGCGTTATTTGCAGCCTTTGAAAATATCGGGGAAGACAGGAGGAAAGTTTCTTTTAATCACGTCCTTTAGATGATCAAACGTTGTGGCGAATCCCATTGTTGGGGGATTTAGTGCCCATACGCAATCGGTTGCTCCCCACCCCACCCACACCTCCCTACCTCTGGTGTCAATTGCTCTTTAATATGAATCTCAAGGAACATCTTTTTGAAAAGTGGGGGTTGGGTTTTCTCACTCTTTTTAGAACACCTGATTCCACTTCTCATTTAATTTATCTATTTGAGAGGTGCACAGAACTAACAATTAATGATGTACTTTTGTATGTAATATGGGTCACCATTCTCATTTAAGTTGAAAATATTCCAGGTAAAAAAAAATTGTTTAAATTATACAAAACAATTTATTATGACTATTTAAGATGTAATTTGTTCAACATTCTACATATTTTATTTAAAATTTGAAAAATCCTAGCTGACATATATTTGTAAATATAAAAGTTTTTAAACCTTGAATCATGAGGTCGAGTGTATCCAGTCTGAAACGCAATGAAAGAGCATACCCGTGTAGTATGCCTGTTGCACTTTTACAATGTGGTGGATTAATCTGTATTAATCTGTTAGATCTCTCTATATATATTCAATAATTTGCGCCATAGAGCCGCGCCTTAGCGCGTTAAAAAAAGCTTTTTCTTGGAGCTCTAACTCATACGTGTCCATCTCCGAACGAAGTTAGGGAAGGATATTAAAATAGCTCCGTCCGTCACTCTGTCTGTCCTGGTTTTGTTTCTGGAATATATCCCAGGAGCCACATCACTTTATTAAATTAGTTCTGCCTTTTGCATTAAACTTATTAATATGAAATTTCATCACATTTACATCATAATCTTCCGACTTAAAGTCCTTTGAAAACTGCTTCATATTGAAACACGTCCGCATTGGGTATTTGGTCGCAAAACCTTAAATTATTTGGTCAGTATCCACATCTCCCCGATGTGCCGCCTCTGGATAGCTAATGGGTACTTAAATATGGCTAGGCGACGTTTGCGTCCAGGCAGTGTTGCGCTGTTATTGCAATGGCTTCATTCTATATATTTAACTACTTCCTGTTTATTTCTAGCATCCATTAATTGTCAGCTGCTCTAGGTATCTCCTCTTCCGATTCCTACATTTGTATATACTTGGGAAGAACGCTAGTCCATTAGTGAGTAAGCAGCATAGGTTGGTAAGGAGGTCTATGATTCAGTTGTTTCAAGGGGGGCAACAAACCAGGTCCTGTTCACACATTGATGACTTGCACGCTCGTAAAAGAACCATTGGCAGTTGGAATGCGAGTAGACGGATAGGCCACTGTATGGGCAAAATTTCCCCCATAGCATACTGCATAGCGTACGCCCGACTTCCTCATCCTGTTAAATTCTGCTATAGCATGCTGTACTATATTTAGCTCAGATTAGCAAGATTTTTTTTCAAATAATATGACAATTTTTAGTATTATCCCATTTGTAAAATGTATTTCTAAATGTCTTTACACGTGGAAACCATTAATTTGACTGGATTTATTGTGTTTTAAGAGTAAATTCTCTAAACGTTTATAATTTCATCGCAGCTCGTCCATTTCACTGCCAGTCGGTCAAGATAAATATGACTGAAACGAGAGCCCAGGTATCATGGAATTAAATTTAATTATTTCATTACTTTTTTCAACTTCAGCTCCGCCAGAACATAAAGCATATTACGTCAGTATCTGTGCCATGATATCCCAGTTTTGCACGACATGCAGTTGGGCATGTATGTCCACATTTACTGCTGAATTATACCCCACAGTAATCAGGTTAGTAGACTCGATTATTTCCATAAACCGAAGAAACCTGGTTAATATACCGTATAATAACTGAAGGGTAAGTAGACTCGATTTTCAAGGTTGGTGTGAATTTATGTAAAATATTATGTTAAGACAGCTGTAACATGTCTCTTTTGACTTTAAAACTAATTTCGTTATTTAAAAGAATGTAATTTTCATACCCCTGTGTTGAATTTGTTTCACGGAATCATGGATATGGGATGCATTCTTAACTATAACATTGAGTCTTTCTATTATTAGATAATGACAAGTCACTGGGTTTGGGGATTTTTTAGGGGCTATATTGTCATTATCAGCGCGCTTAGTTTTATCAATATCATATAAGCTTATTGTTCACAGAAGCTGTTGCAGTCAAACAGAATGTGCAATCTAGCTACTCCTGGTTCTTGAAAGGGAGATAAATCAATTTTGTTCCTTATTTCTGTTTGGATGGACTTGGTGGCTTTCATGTTTTACAAGAATGATGATAACAAGTTTAAGTGGAATTTATTTTATTGACATACATGTTTTGTCATCTAGTGTACACCTGTTTTAAAGGGCATTAGATAAAGTACCAATAGTTCCAAGTGTCTGGACGAAACACAAACTCCATTACTTCACCATTAAATACTAAAGCCTTCTGGTAGATTAGATCAGTATACTGGAATATAATTTTTTTTAAATTTTGATTACTCTACCAAGTGACAACTTCTCCCCTCTAATATCTAAATTAGTTTATTTATGACAACATTGTTTTATTGTAGAAATCTTGGTTATGGATGTGCTGGAACTATTTCAAGGGTCGGGGGAGTTTTCGCGTCACAAGTCATATCATTGGTGAGTAGACGATGGGGAAGGGGTGGGGCTTTAATGTTGGCAACTCATTATTACCACCAAATATTGTGAAATTGTACACTAACCTCATCAATGAAAATACCTGATATGGTTGTTTTGTGGCTGTTAACTTCTGAATTGTTTCCATATTTCTCAAATTCATAGTTTAGATTGTTTAGCTTTGATGGGCTACTTTTTATGACCTTTAACAATTTGCGGATAAATGAACAATTAATCATCAGTACCATTTACTAAATATTATAAATTAGATATTGATCTTGTTTTATTATAACAATATAATATTAGTGTCCACTTTTTTGATTATGTGAGGGTTTGTTACAGATTTTGAAAAGCGTGTTTGGGATATGAGATTGAGAATCCGGACGAACCCAAATTTTGATTATTTTTTTTTTATAAATTAGCTTATGTTCAAAATGGGCATTTTCTGCTCAAATTAATTCAAAACTGTCATTTCCTGCTTAAATTAATCAGAATTATAAGTAATTTGATTGGCAAATGCTTTATAATGATAAATGTGCTAGTAATTAATAGTGTGTCATCTATTTATTTTCGGATTAAGGCCAGCGTCATCAACGGCACCCAGCCTTACTCTGACTGTCAACTAGCGTGTGTCAATTTTGACACGGGCATTACTGCTGGCTTTGAAATCCAATCAATAACTGATCTCGATGTAATATATGTGTTTGAAATTTATAGCTGTACTCTTCCCGGTGTTTACAGGAGTAGTGCACGCCCTTCCCCTCCTCCTTTAGAGCGTGACCTCACTAATCCATTGTCAGTAGGTCTCTATAATATAATCTGAATTACTTTGTCACATTTTGAGCAGACTATATGTATATATGTATTAATACATCATTTCTGTTTTATTACAGGCTGTTAAAGGTGGTTATGTGCCATATGTTATAATCTGTATATTAATGGCGGTAGACACATGTTCCGTTCTAACATTACCGGAAACTTGTGGCGAGGCGCTCGAAGATACCCTTAATACAGAGAAAAAAATTAATCTCCCGTTGTCAGAGTATAAAGAAGTACTACAACACGTGAAAGAGCCTGAAAAACAAAATGTCTAAAATTATATATTTTATATGCACATGAAATTATTTTAATCATTTTACTATGAATGTATTCTACATTATTTTTTTACTGTTATCTTTCTATTAGACTTTTTCTTACTATTTTAATATAAATATTTATACCATATTATATTTATATCACCATATCCCAGGGATATTAATATTATCTCTCAATCATCATTAAGCGAAATAAATTAGCTTATTGCAGTTCATTTATCTGACTTCAAATTTTATATAAATTATTATTTAGACATCTATTCACATCATAACCTATACTCAACTCTCTGGGTCATCGGGTAGCCTATATATAGGTTTGATAATGCCCGCCATATCTGCGCTAAACGCTAGTATTGCCGGCAAATGCATGACGTCAATCACGGAGACTACGGATAAAAGGCCTAACAATATACATGTAGTTCTATACCTTTCTATTCTTATTAAAAATCTTATTTGGATCAAAAGTAATAAAAAGTAATACAAATACAAATTGAATTGCATTCGCTATATGAAACCCGGCAAAATAGCCATTCATAACTTCACTGATAATAAAATAATTTGACTGACATTTTCAATGTATTCATTTCTAATTATCTATTTTTGAACTATTATAGCAAGAGCGGTCAGCTCTTTTTTCTAAATCTGACATAATGGATCTTTAACCATTGCATCACTTTCTATAGTGAAGTGGTGTTTCTGGTCAGTTATCTTCAGCTGGATTCGGTTTTGGAAGTAAAATACTACAGGATAATGTTATCAATTAATGTCTCGGCAATGACGTAATCCAACTGAAATATCTCCAATTTTACACAGGGTTACCAATTAAACGACTGTATTTTATAATGGATTTATAATGAGTGTTTTATAAGTGTGCTATAACCACTTTTTAACATCACAATCAAATAATCTATTGACTTCAGTCCCGAAATGACCTAGTTTCTGTCAAGTGGACGTTGAACGTCCCCTCTCTTTTAAGACGTGTAAAAATAACCGATGGGTCCCGAGCAATTCTGGTCAATTATTAAGATAAACGGCCCACACCGACATACATTAGCCGAAGTAAAACACATGACCATAGGCATGTTTTAAATGTATAAATAGTGTCAAGCCAGGTGTGTAACTGTTTGTTAAATTCATCAATGGATGATCCTAGAATTATTCAAACATACGAACACTCACAATGAAATAATTTTTAATGTCCTACGGTTCAACACCAACTGGGCTACTCTTATTCAACTGTCCATAGTTATTGCACCGTACACTGGACGTCGGTTTTTCGTATTATCCGCTTTCCAAGCCCCCGTCCTGCATTACTGAAACTGGTAAACCACCCTGAGATTTCTCGACCAACACAGACCAGTGCCTTATCCAATGAGCCACCGGGGCTCCAACTAACACTAAGTCAGAATTATTCCTCTGTTGATCACTGACTGATCCTACTATATATTTTGCTGTTGTCACGCGTTCGGTTATTCATTTTACTGGGCATACTTTTTTCAAATATCTTTTCAAATGATAATAAAATCTAATCCATTACTGTGTAATCATAACATACATTTGATCAGTAATCAGGTCCGTTGGAACGAAATTCACTCCACCGGTTCCGACGGCGCTGGAAACAGACACGGTTGTCTTAAAGATCGTTGTAGCCACGACCAGAAAATGGCCGCGTTTAAGGTTTCCAATTGAAGACATCACAGTTGCCCCCAACAGGCGCAAAATTATTTCGGGTGGCGGTATAATCGAAGAAAAGCAGAAAATTCACCAAGCATGAAATGCTACTTGACTGTGATCTTCAAAAGATGCCATCCCACTCTTATTATACACATAACAGTCTCGTAGATATCAGGCACCATTCCAGGTTCGGGATTTCTCATCAGAAAGAAATCGATGACGAAGAAAGATTCTCCATCCCCACCCCAGAAACACACATGATAAAATATGAAAGATAAAATTAATAAAACACATACAAAACCCGTACATCATTTTTTACTGGGGGTCACCGGTGTTGTTTTTATATAGAGCCTACTATATTTACAGTGTAACGAAAATAACATCTAAGTTATATAAATTCATGACGGGATAATGCCCATAACTGCTAATAAGACATGACATTTAATAAAGATGAAAAAATAGTTTCATAACATATTAAAGGTGCTGTACCGAAATGAAACATTACTTTTAAAAAAGAGAATGCATGTCAATGTAAAGACAAAAAAAACCCTTTAGTTTTGTTACATAATTATTAAAGGTGGTATACCGAAATGAAATATTATTTTAAAGGGCGCATGGCTCTATTCTTTGGAACTTTAAAATAGAATAACAACAAAACACATACTTATGGAAAACAGCTACTAGTGTATTTAAGGCGACGTTTCGTAGAGTATTCTCTCAACGTTATCAAGCTAATACAGTAAAATAGGTATGAGGCAAATATATATAGACAAAATACAACAACATAACCGAAACCATACATAGCAACAACATGATCAAAGGCCTAAAATAGAAGAAAATGGGTTTAAGAGCACATATTGATGTAATATGAATGTATGTAACGTGATTTATATTCATTTTTTAAAAATAAATATTATAATTTATAATCAATTATGTCCGGTGAAATACGTGAACAGTCCAAACTAAACGACAGTACTTTACTCCAGCTTTTAAAAGCCATTCTACACGTTATTATTTTGTCGTCAGTGAACAAGCCATTACAAATTACTCCCGCATTGTCTTGTGGGGTGTGCTTTCTTTGTTCATTACAAATGGTGCTCGAAACCACAGAAAATCATTAATTAGACATTGATTTACTTGCCAAGCCCATAATCAACCCTCTAGGCTATCGGATGGGTTTGATTTACGATTGCCAGTCAATAATTAAAAATGGATAATCGAGACTTTGTTTGTTATCGTAAGAACGATATCAATAACAATCGAAGCTATGATGTTCTTCAAATGAACATAATTCCGCTCGGGATTAAGTAATTTGACTGAAATTTTCAACATATTCCCTTTCCATTATCCATCTTTTAACTATTATAACGAGAACTGTCAGTTCTTTATCTAATTCTGGTATAGTGCATTTCGAATATTATGGAAAATATTGAGTTAGAGTTTTAGCCACTTTAAAAACGAGAATGCATTTAAATGCTAATCAGACACGACATCAAAAACAGATAGAAAAAAATAGTAACATATTAAAATATTTTTTTTTTTAAGAAAAGAGAATGTCTGTACACGCTGATAAGACAAGACTTGGAGAGTGGGGGGGGAATTTCGTAACATATTAAAGGTACTGTACCGAAATGAAACATTTTTCTTAAAAAAAAAGAAAAAGAAAATGCCTACAAATGCTTATCGCAAAAAATTAAATGAAGTGGGGTTTAACGTCCTATTGTTCTACTTCAACCGGGCTAATGAAGACGGACATACGCCGTACAGTGTGCTATGAGGAAAATTTTGCCCGGACAGCGGCGCTACGGCCAACGCATATATCGAATTCGAACTGCCATTGGGTCTTTTACGTGCACGCCAATGTGTACACAGGAATCGTTTTTTTCGTCCCATCCGAACGACTAGACAGTAGTTCTTGTCAGACCCTCCGTCCCGCACCACTGACAAGGGGATCCCACGCCGGAAACATTCTAGGCCATCACATTTTTAAAAGAGAATTTCCGAAATGAAAAGACATCAAGTACACACGCAAAAATAGTTTCGTAACATAATAAAGGTACTGTACCGAAATGAAATTACATTCTTATTGTAATAATAGAGGCAAATTATTAGAGGGGTTTGACATAGGCTATGCCTCTTCCTCAATCCCGTTCAGACAACCTGAATAAAATATTGTTTAAAAAAGATATTAGAGACTATCATATACTCTCCAGAGTCCGTATTCAAAGGTTTTCTAACTTATGAAATATCCCCACTGCCAAAAGTCACAGATCTAGCTGTCACTCATTTGTAGGTAACGACTTCGAAATAGTATGACTACAAATTATGATAGTTATTATTCTACCTGAAAAAATACTACCGATTAATACGCAATAAGTAACACAACAAATTAATTGCAAAACATTTGGTGACACGCTTCGGTCAGCAGCCACCATCATTAATTTTGTAAATTGATATACAATATTACTACCAATCCCCAGCTAACTTCAAATATGTATATGGGAATGAAGTTTTAGATATAAAACATACATGTACTTGCTTCTCATGGTAGTGTAAATGTTTGTCGAAATCTATAATGGATTGTCATCACAATGTCAAATTTTACAAATAGATTTAACGCATCAAACTTTATTATATGACATTTGTTAAAAACATGAATAAGCAATACGAACATGATAAAAAAAAATGATATAGGAAAATATATATATATTTTTGGCCATCTCGGTGGCAGTACCCCTATAAACTATTATGGCGCTACATCAAAGCTGATGATGAAAGAAAGGGTTTGAGGCCAGCTACGCTATCTGATATAGTCTTTGTTTTAATTTCAACGCCTATTCTTTTAAAACCGCCATTACGATCCCGCAACTACATTGTGTACTCCGTTTTTTAAAAAAAGTTATAATCTCACTTATCTTTTTAAAATAAGGTGAGATTATAAAGGTACCTGTCATAGGCCCGCACATTCCCCTGTTTTTATTCATTCTACACTTAATAAAAGAAAACAGTCAATGCTTTTTATAAATTGTCAGATGTCCTTTCACAGTCTCATATAACAACTTCTCCTCGTCAACCGAATTATCACTGGTTACATCAGTTAGTTATATGGAAAGCTAAATCGTGTTTTCCTTTTGCTTTCGTCACTCCCGTTTCTTCAAATCTTCGTTACGCATCGATCGCAGCAATGATCTGTGTTACAATTATATTTGGAACGTGTTTAACCAGTTCTATCACATATGTTTTAATGGCTGACACAAATATTATCCTTTAAACTGGCCTTTGAATACCACTTAAAGACCAAACACGTATAGTTAAGTTAACTTAATTTTAAGGGGAAGTTTGACGTTTAACATTGCCTTTGAATACCCCTTACCCTTAACTTACATTAGGTTATGCATATTTAAGTGTCTAACTTATACTTTATCTTTCCTTTAAATACGGATCCCCGGGTATCTAATATGTTTGGCACGCTGTTTTAAATAGTTTGCTCGGCTTGTATGGTTTATTTCACAGCCAGGTGATGTCGATAAGTTTCGCTTTGGCTAACTTAATGAATGATATAAATTAAGCGTATTGGTGCGAGAAATTAAGTAGTGTTTAAACAGCCAATCATTCTACGTATACAATTTCACACACTGTCTTGTTTATATTATAATTGGCATACTTTTTCAACAAGGACGTAACTTACATAATATACGGCGTTAAAGCTGAACTCCGATTACGCAGAAAAGTATTTGGTGTTTCTACCCTGTTGTGCAAAACATGTCACGAAATAAGAAAGAATTTATTGGTTAGTGCTGGTAGATTTGTTATTGCTTGGGGTAGGGCAGTTTATTTTAGAGCAAAAGTCATCGTGGTTGATTTATTTCGTCTAATTAGTAAAATAAAATGTACCTGATCAGACATAATAATTTGTGTAGCAATAATATTTTCTGTGAGCTGATAGTGAAAAAACTTCAATCAGTCAAGAGGTAATTGTTAGTTGACAGGTAACCGGATGTGGATACCTTGCTTGATACGGCGTGTGGCCTGTCTATGTGTTTGTTTGCCCAAAGCGATCGTCATTGTTGTTCTACAAATTGAAAACAAGTATGGCGGTCGTTTAGGGCGTTACCTTTTTTATATTTAATTATTTCTGTAGTTTTGTAATCGGAGTTCAGCTTTAAGGAGCATAAAAGGTCTGACTATTCATTTTATTCCTGTAAACCAGTGAGATGTTACAATAGTTACGTAGAAATAGAAGATGTTAATACAACCGTCTTAACGTTAGGTTCCCACTATCACGATTCGCGCCGTCATACTTCCAAAATTTTCTCCCTTTTTTGGGGGGTGGGGCTTTTCCTACACGGCAAGGGATCAAAAACGGGACTACCAGGTGGGCGGTGAAAAATTCCCTTCATTTGCATAACAAGCAGAACAAATATGGTTACCTGAAGGCGGTGTTCAGTCAGCGAGTGGAACACGGCCTATACAGTCCTACACTCAAGTCCCGTTATGCTAGCATCTCCCTGCCGTTTGCTACAGCAAAGCCGTATTCAGTCTTCGATGCACATGAATGGAGCTATATAGGTCATTATTGTAGTTACGTAAAACGATATCAAACTTATGTAACTTGTGAAAAGTGATATTTTTGAGGTAAGTTTCTATTTTACCTTCAGTATATTTGAAAGTGTTGTTTTATTTTCAGATGAAGATTTTAATTTTTTACAGTATTTGGTTTAAGTTTATGACTGACCCATCACGCATGTTTGGCTATATTAATATATGAATTTTAAACATTGCATCACAGTAGTTCATATACCCGTTTGAAGCAATTAGCTCAGTATGGGATTTCTGTAATGGCTCGAAATTTATATGCCTACATTGGAATATGGTTGTATTTATTGTCGTCACCCATGACATTCCGTCTGTCTGTTTGGCCGTGGGCTTGGAACCACGGTTGCTCGGATTCTCCAGCGTGGTTTCCCTTTGTGAACGGCCCAGGTTCAAGAGCCTTGCAAGGGACAGTCTCTATATTTAGGGACCAGGGAACTTGCTGTTCCAGAATTATGCCTACTTTACGAAAATTGTATTTTTTTTTCAAATTTGGTGTGAATCAATAGGGTTCGTGAGAGGATGAATCCAACAATAATCAGTGTTCTGTGATATTCCATTCAGGAGCCCCCCCCCCATACACACCCCCCCCCCCCCACACACACACACACACACGCCTGTCGAAATCCATGTGAACGCAATAAAGACTATAGTTTTAAACAAATCTATTTCAAATTTCGTGGGAAGTATAAGGGTCACGAGAGGATAAACCCTATCAGCATTCTGCGATCTGCCGTTCTAGAGGTACCCCCCCCCCCCCCCCGCTTTCGAAAACCTTGTGAACGCTAAAGGAGCTATAGTTTTTAACATATCTATTTCAAATTTGGGGATAAGCAATCGGGCCGTGGATGCGTTGACCTCACATCTTCTGTTCCGGAGTTACAGCCACCCCTTTTGCCGAAAAGCTCTCCAACGGGATAGTAATTAACTGATTTATTTCAAATTTGGTGCGAAGCATTGGGATCATGAAAGGGCAAACTCTATCGATATTCAGCAATCTAGCTACTGTTGTGGATTTTCAGTGGATGTGTTGACCCTACACCTTCTGTTCCGGAGTTACAGCCACCCCTTTTGCCGAAAACCTCTCCAACGGGATAGTAATTAACTGATTTATTTCAAATTTGGTGCGAAGCATTGGGATCATGAAAGGACAAACTCTATCGATATTCAGCAACCTAGTCACTGTTGTGGATTTATACTCTCTTTTCTGAATGTGAGCTGCTACTTTTTAACTGAATTCTTTTATTTGTTGTATTAAAGTTAAAAAACCCAATCAATCATATCTAAATGCTGTAAATCTGTTTAACACAGAGCACGTAGAGGGGACAGTTGATTGCATTTGGTATTGACGATATGTAGAAGAGTGTTTAAATCTGGCTGATTTACAGGGGCATGGAGTATGATCCAAACATTAGCTACCATTGAGTTCTGACGTGTGTCGATACTATTGTGCACCTGGTAATTTATGTCACATTATAAGCCCACATATGATCATCTATTGCGTCTTCCAGTTCCACATTCCGTTGTGAACACTCTGAAAACTACATTTTATCATCTAATCTGTATTGTTCAGATTGGTCAGACAATGAACACAATCTAATTTCAACAATTTCTGTTAACCGTATATATTCTAAAGAATAGCCTCATAAAGTCTGCTTTGTCAGCTGTGTTGTTAAGTGGTGAAATCACGTTCAAGCATTTAATAAATGAAATGAAATAAAATGGGGTTTAACGTCATACTGTTCTGCTCCGACTGGGCTAATGAAGACGGGCATACGCCATACAGTGTGCTATGACGGACATTTTGCCCGGGCAGCGGCACTATGGCCTACTCTTATATCGAATTCCAAGTGTCAAGGGATCTTTTACGTACATGCCAATGTATACACGGAACCTCGGTTTTCCCATCCGAACGACTAGACAGCTGTCCTTGTCAGGCACCGCTGACAAAACGAAACCGCGTCGGAAAATCCTGATGAACTTTCTCAGACAATGCAGGGATCGAACACACGACCTCCAGGCTAGCGAGACAGCGCCTTACCCACTTAGCCACCTCGCTACTAATAAACCCGGTACGAATATATAAATTACCTTATAATAGCCGTCTAGTCTTTTGTTAAAAAGATTTCAGATCTAACAAAGAGGTATTGAAATTTTTTTTATGTATTTTACCAAATATGACAATACTCAATAGCTGCTACTGAATCTACACGATGTTTAAATTTTTTTTAAAAAAAGGCTATTCATTTCATGTCAGTAGGCGTATCCTAGCAAAGACCTAAAATTGTTAGTCTCCAATAGGAAATATTTAATATATTCAATATTCAGAAAAAAACATTAACAGGTATGGCAAATATGTTACAATTTCTAGATATATGCATGTGATCGAATATGTAAATAGCATTCAAATTGTGACGAATATTTGAATAGTAAAATCAGCATTCAATATATTTTGGGATCAATAAGAATTGGAACAATTCATCTTAAGTTAATAAATAAATGAGTAAATGTGTCATGAATAAGGTATTAAGATTTCCGTGTTTGTTTTCTACAAAATACTCCTTCAGCTGTATACAATACAGATCAACCACGCTTCAGTTGTTCGTATATGGTCTACTGAACACAGTCATTGTTTATATGAATCTCTCTGATAAGCAATCTACTAAGAAAAAATAATAGCTATAGTACATATGTATATAAGATATTTAAGAAATAACCAAATATTGTCATGATTTGACCTTTCTTGGCCTTTCTTGAAACTATGACAAAAGAAAGTCAATGCTACAATTCAGAAATACTTTATGGAAGGATAATAATATCATTATAAATTTGCATAGAAATTACCTACACATATATTCCCTTTCTTTTGACATCACAGAAATGGTAAGTAAACAATAAAGATAAAATTTCAGACATTCTTGCCTCCTTAGTGGTAAAGGGTGTTGTGTGAGGACAAAGAATATATATTAAAATTAAGTTCTTTGAAATTATCACTGTTAACTTTATTGTTAAGGTATCACAAGCTGACGGAATGTGGATCTAATGTTGTGCCTGTAATAACCCAAAAGTTTAAAATCTCCGCAATATAAAATAACCCCATTTGCTAAAAGGAAATTAGCTAAGAAACATACATTCTCTGCATTTCCTTTTGGGAAATGATTTATGTTATATTTTATTGACATTCCCTTTATATTTCATCATTTCAGGCTTTGAATGTAGATCAGCTATTGGTTTTCAAGACCCGGTGATACATTTTTTATATTAAACGCTGTGCCTTGGTTAAAACCTCCATTATGCATTTAGATGAATTGATGATTGACATAGGTGACTTTGGTTGGTACCAAATCGTCATCGTGTCCTGTTTGCTGTCAACGATGATTCCGGTAGCTTTTACCATGTTGGAGATGGCGTTTACTGGCTTTATTCCAGATTGGTGGTGCGATTCCATGCCAACATCGGATCTTGTCAGCAATGACAACAACCATACCACCTACTTAGTTACCAATAGCAACATTAGTAGTCATAGTATTAGTTTAAACCAATGCTATGGCACCGGCAACGCAACAGTTTGTAAACGAGAATTTGATATGAGCAAACGGACCATCGTGAACGAGGTAAACGTACATTTGATTATTTTTTTCATCGCCATCACATTTCATGGAACATTTAAATTTTCAGTCAGAGGCACTAAATCAACAAATTTAGAGAGAAACTCAAGGGGTAAGGAAGGTAATCCCTGTCTATGTTAGACATAATCCTGGTATTTAGACAAATAGGTAACAGATCACACCCACATGCAACCTCTCGCACATAAAGCAGGGTTCTTAATACATTCTCAAATTAACCGGACACTGCTAACGGATAGTCGTTTTTTCAACGACATGCATGGGTTTTTTTTATGGCATACTCTATTCGCAACAATAATTGCATAAAGTTAGAGTGGCCAAACATAATCAGTTTCTACTGCCAACCTTGTACTGTGTTTGTATTACAGTGGGACCTAGTCTGTGAAAACAGATGGATAAGCTTTACAATTACAACCGTTCAGATGTCAGGGGCGTTAGTTGGAGCTACTATTGTCAGTTACACCGGAGATAGATTTGGTAGACGCAGAACACTCTATGTCATACAGTTGCTGCATCTCATCTTCCTTGGTATTTGTGCGGCGTCACAGTCTTGGCATTTGTTCACAGCTATGAGATTTGGTATCGGATTGTCAGCTGGTGCCACGATTGTTGTGTGTTTTCCTGCTTCCATTGAGTTCGTGGGAAAGAAATGGCGTGCGTTGCTTGGTGCATTTCCAGTCTGGGCTGGAGCAGCACCTTTTCTTCCATTAATCACATGGCTGTTCCCATATTGGCGCCATTTTGAAATCATCGTCTGCATCATCAGTTTTCCTATTTGTTTAGGTTTCTTGTAAGTTAATTTCTTTATTTGGTTAATATTTAATTCAAATCTTTAATAGAACTTTATCTAGACCTATGAAGGTATAGAACTTAGCTCTAATAGGCTATACGTTCTGTAACGAATTTGACGTTTATTTCGTCTTATTGAAAGCTTTTTCGTGGATACTGTTCAAAGAATGCTAAGATATAACACATTTGACATGACAAATAAAATATAATTAATGGTATTTGTGGAAAGCCGTATCACAATCATAGACGGTGTGTCTGACTTTAAGAAGTAATCCTCAGTAATGGCTGTATCTTAAATGGACACAATATAGATTTAAGATTTCTTGATTTATATGGTTTTATGTCCCTATAAAGGTTGCCAAACAACAAGCATGAAACGAGTTGATTTAAATTATCCTATTATTCAATTTAGGAGACACATAATCAAATTAAAACAAATACAACAACCAAGTGTGCCACATGATGTATCTGTTGTAACATTTGAATTCATGTTTACATCACTATGCCTCTATATATTTAACCAGGGATCGGTTGCATTTACTTGGTAATCTTTTTCTTGTTCTTGTTCTTGGGCGACGCTCTTCAAACAAAAAACCAAAGATTCCGCCAATCCATGAACGATCGACGTGAAACTTGGATAATTGAGCGTCAATTGAATGAAGGTCTTCACTGTTTGATATAAAGCCATAATTTCAAGATGATAGCAATGACGACCTGCTTGGTTTGTGGTTTACACAAGACTTGCGTACTTGTTGTTTAAAGATTATTTACATTAAAAGCAATTTATAACTTTTGAGGGAGGGAGGGAAATGGGGTTTAACGTCCACTTGACACACACAAGGTTTTTTCGGGACTAACATACTTTTCAATTTTATTTCAATCATTCGCTTGCACGTAGGGGTCTTTAGCAGTGGGAGGAAATTGGGGGACCTGAAAAAAACCCACGAGGTTGGACAGGCGACCCTACTCCTTGTCAAGTACAACCGGGGAATGGTACAGCGCGCACGTGCTAACCATTCGGCCATCCAACCCGCCTATAACTTTTGAAATATTTATCATAATTCTGTGAATTATTTGTCCAAGGTAGGTAACTAGCACGACAACTTCTTTATTTGGTTTACTGAGATTTTAAAGTGTTTTTTATTGTTTATTTTATAAAGTATTGTACCAGAAAGTATCAGATGGTTAACTGTAAAAGGGAAGTTAAAGGAAGCAGCGGCAGTAGCATGTAAAATTGCCAGCAAAAACAAAAAGCCAGAACCTAATACCGATATTTTAGAATTGGTAGCAGAAGACGAAAGACAGATCAACAAAACGTATTCAAGATATACTCATTTGGATTTATTTCGTGACAAACGAATGGCACTGATAACTTTACGTGTCTGGTATTCCTGGTAAGTAGGACATTCCTCTAGCAAAGTTAGCGTGGCTCTCCACTTCGATTGGTTCGAAAACAAAACTTGATTGTATGTTATGTATATAATTTTTAGGTCCATAGATAGACAATTTTAAGATATACTTGGTTTTAGTTTGTGTTCAACAAGCAACCGCTAAAATACCCCTCCTCGTTGACTTGGGTTACAAATATCTCTACAGCAGTTGTGAACGGAAAGACTGGGGTCCAACATAAAATGTGGTCATATATTAAAATATGTTTCCGTGCAGTCCCAGATAACATCATGACGCTACATTTACGTACACTTTACGTTTAGATTTTATATATTGAAGACATATCTACTAACGTAGACTCTGTCAATCAGTCTGTCTTTGATTAGCAAACAATGGATCTGATTTTAAAAATTTGTACTCAGATATATAAATAATTATTATAGCATGCACATAGCAGTGAGTACAACTTTTAGTGACAAGATCAATTTTGATGAAGTTTGTTCGTGCATGTCATCAAATGAGGAGAAGTCATTTTGTCTAGTTTGAATCCTGTTTATATATAGCTGATGCTCCTTTACATTGGTTCATGTGGTGTAAAAGCTGGTACTTTTGGTGCAATAACCCGTTATATTGGAGCTCACTACAATCAGTTCTCACAGATTCCCACAGATTTACTATAATATTGACCCTTATGGTGGTGATCCTTACTGTTTGCTCTTGAAATGCTGTATCTTTGCTCAGTAATAAGGCTTGTCGCAGTTGCTTCAGTTTATACTTTTTTGACGATCCTTATACCATCCGTTCTTGTGTTTTAGTAGCCTTGCCCATTGATGATCCTTACACCATCTGTTTTTGTAGTGTCGTATCATCTCCCGTCTATGTACTTACAATTAATAAATGAATTGATTTTTCACCAGGCATGACCAACCCTTTGTGTTTTAGGATTTATTAGTACAATAGTGTCAAGATCCCAACGGCGTATCTCTGATATGTAAATTGTATGTTTGATATCTAAATTGTATCTTATATTTGAAATCAAAAGGTTTACCTCTGCTGTTTGTTATTGGTGCCTTATCCTTGGAGTACAAAGTATGTCAGGGAATTTTTATCTCAACTTCTTTCTAGTATCTATCGTGGATATTCCAGCATCCTTACTGGTTCTACTCTTTGTTAACAGGTAAGACACTTTTCTTTTACTGACTCGTTTGTAAAAGCTGGTTTTCATATAGTTCGGGAGTATTTACTACAACATGTGATATTCTTGTGACTCAAATATTATAATCATGATAATGCAGTCACATGCAGTAACACTTGAGTAGACTAAATCTCCCAACTGTGTCATATTCTGCGATAGCTACTGTTACAGATGTTGACTAGTTACAGTCAAAAATGTAAACCTTTCGTTGTTGGGAGGGGAGAGGGCCTTCTATTCTTCCAAAGGTTCCGTAGCAACCCAGCACAAAATGACAGGTCAACACCATTTTGCTAATCGTGATTTTTTAAGTAACATGTGGACATAATAATACAAGAACAGCCCATATCAGATAATACTTCAAGGAACCACTGATAGTTGCAGATTGGGTTACATTTGATTGGAAGCACAAAATCATCATCCTGACAGTGAACCAAAATCCTAGATAGCATGTGCTAATACTTGGCTAGAACCAAAAATAACATCATCTGGACTGGAACTCCAGATAATATTCTCTAGACGAGCTAGCATTAGTCTAGAACCACAAATATTATTACCCGGACTATCAGCTAGAACCTGGATAAAATCCTAGATAGTTGCCTCAACATCATAATAAAGTCCAGATTACACTCAATGAATAACCTCAATAGCCCTAATACCTCTAAAATTGAGTTGGTACCCCCCCCCCCCCCCCAGATGCAATTATCCAAGCCGGCTAACCTGTGACCCAACTCTGGACCCCAATAGTATCTTCCGAACTAGGTATAACAGTAACTAGAACCAATTGCATCCTCCAGAGCACCCAAATTACATCATCCAGACAGGCTGACAGAGCATTAGACAGCATCATCCAGGCGGGCTGACAGTACGTTAAATGCCATAAACAAGATAGACTGACAGAACAGCAAATAACATCATCCAAACAGACTGACACAACAGTAGATATCATCAGCCAGACGGTGGATAGCAGGTGCCATCATTTAGACAGTCTGGCATTCAGCAGCAGACAGCACCCACTTAACACACTGACACTTACTTATAATCCAAAATATCATACCCCGAATGACACTCTTCTCGAACTCCAGATAGAATCCCAGAAATGTAGGAGGGGTATATTATTACTTTTTAAAAGTAATTAATTCATGTCAGACAGAAAGTTGACGTGATGTTTATTTTCAATTATCTTGTAATGTGAATACTACCCTCTTTTTACCAAGAGTAGACTGATGGCAAGATGTAACTATCAAGATATCTCATACCGATTTGTCCGTGAACTTTTACATTTTCAGCATTTTGTCTAAAATCGCTTTCCTCCAAAATTGGTAGGTATATTGCTTGTTGGAAGTTGCTCGTCAACCTGCGTGTATGCTGTGTGTGTGTGTGTGTGGGGGGGGGGGGGGTACCTTTAATGAGAAAATCTGGAGATTGCTCATTAACCATGTTTGGTAAGTATGTGTCATGACTAAGATCGTTGGTGAGGTAGGGCGCTTATAAGAGAGAAGAACGGCTGCCTGAAACGTAACACCAAATCTGTGAATAATTGGTATGCACCGTCATAAAACTGCCACAATACAAAGTTTGTCCGTGTTCAAAGCCTTACAATCTCAATGATTATGGTCCTGTCGCTTCTTGTGATATTGGGTGATGATGTAGGGAGCAACCCTAGACCAACAAATACCAGACAAGGCACCCTCAGTAAGACTGATGAAATTGTTTATCCAGAGAAAGAAAATGTCGGACACGGTCTAATGGCTATGTTTCAGTTTCTCAAAAATGATATTGCCGAACTTATAAACCTGGTCAATAATTAAATATAAAAGAAGAAGTTATAGAAATTTAAAAAGATGTGAACTAGTTGAAGAGAAAGAAGGAAAAATTGAACCAAAGTAGTGGGTGATTTATCTACTGTAGAACCACTGTCCAATTAGGATCCTTGATCTACTAAATATCTTTGTTTCTAACACAATGCTTATACCCCCATAACCATGATGAGTTAAGAAAAAGCTTTGCCAGAAAATAAATAGTGACTTCCCCATAGACTTTTTTGGTCAATAATTAAATATAAAAGAAGAAGTTATAGAAATTTAAAAAGATGTGAACTAGTTGAAGAGAAAGAAGGAAAAATTGAACCAAAGTAGTGGGTGATTTATCTACTGTAGAACCACTGTCCAATTAGGATCCTTGATCTACTAAATATCTTTGTTTCTAACACAATGCTTATACCCCCATAACCATGATGAGTTAAGAAAAAGCTTTGCCAGAAAATAAATATTGACTTCCCCATAGACTTTTTTTATCATGTTGGTTTCATCTCTGCTGTATAAATTTTACCACGCTGAAAATGTTATGGGCAACAAAAACATATCTTTCAGTTTGTATCTAAAGTGACAGCAAAGGTCAGATGCTTAAAGTGCAATCGAACTTGTTAGGCTACAAAATCATCTGTTTTAGTTTGTTTCTAAAATGACAGGAAAGGACTCTACTCCAAATCACATCTGCAGTGATGTAATTCTCAAAATATTCTAGGGGACCCCTGGTTCTTCATCTGCCCCTTGGTGATCTTCTACCTAATTTATTTGAGAACCACCCCTTTAAAAAAAGATTTCCGGTAAAATTATTAACAAGTTTATCTTTAATTTATTTATCTGTATTTTTTAATTTTTATTTAGAAAACGCTTTGGAAGAAGATGGTCAATAGCCATGGGTAATATGGGTGTAGCATTAGGAGCCCTTGGGGCTATAATAGCGTCTTTAACTGGTAGGTACATGAATCTACAATTTTGCCATACTTTTGTATTTTATTCCGCATGTGGCTTCTGCCAGCGTTATTTGCAGCCTTTGAAAATATCGGAGGAGCCATTTCGTTCGTTTCTAGAGTTTTACGTCCACTTCCACCCAAGGTGATATCGTAGACAAGGCGCCAGGAGGAAATTTTCTTTTAATCAAGCCCTTTAGATGCTCAAAAGGTGTGGCGAATCCCACTGTTAGAGGATTTAGTGCCTATACGCAATCGAATGCTCCCATCCCACCCAAACCCTCCCTACCTCTGGTATCGATTGCTTTTTAATTCAAAAGTGGGGGTTGGGGATCCAGTTATTAGCATTGGTGAAGACATACATGTCAACAACAAGATCAAAGTCCTATGACACAATTGGGTTATATTTAAGTTGAAAATCTGCCAAGTAAAAAAGAATATTGTTTAAATTATACAAACTAATATGTTATGACAATTTAAGATGTAACTTGTTTAACATTCTGCATATTTATTTACAATTAAAAGCCTAGCTGAAATATATTTCTAAATATTACACTATTTAAACCTTGAAACATGTGGTGGATTAATTTGTTTCTGAAACATGATTTGTTTTATATATATATTCAATAATTTGCGCCTTAAAGTGTTAAAAATTGTCTTGGAGTTCAAACTCATATTTGTCATCTCCGCGAACAATGTTATATGAGAAGGGTATTAAATTGGGCTCCGTCCGTCCATCCATGTGTCCTGGTTTTATTTCTGTAAAATATCACAGGAGCCACATCACTCTATTAGACTAGTTCTGCCTTTTGCATTAAACTCATTAATGTGATGAAATTTCATCACATTTGCATCATTATCTTCGGAGTTAAAGTGTTTTGAAAACTGCTTCATTTTGAACACGTCCGCCTTGGGTATTTGGCCGCAAGCCAATGAATTATTTGTTCAGTGTCCACAACCCAACACCCACTGTGTCGCCTCTGGGTGGCTAAGGAGTACACAAATAAAGCTGCATCCAGGGAAGATTGCGCTGTTATAGATTTAACTACTTCCTATTTATTTCCTTATATCCATAATCAACTGCTTTAGGTATCTCCACTTCTGATCCCTACATTTGTATGTACATTTGTATGAGGTCCATGACTCGGTTATCACCTAGTTGTTTGAACGGGACAAACTAACCAGGTTCTGTTCACACATTGATGACTGCCATGCTCGTAAAAGAACCGTTGGCAGTTGGAATTCGAGTAGACGAAAATGCCACTGTACGGCAAGATTTCGCCCATAACATACTGCATGGCGTACGTCCGACTTCATCAGCCTGGTTAGAACAGGCAGTAGAATGTATGTTGTTAAATTATGTACACTTGTGTAGAGAAATTAAACCTGCTATAGCTTGCTGTACTATATTTAGCTTAGATTAGCAAGATTGTTTCAAATAATATGACAATTTTTAGTATCATCCAAATTTTTCAAATATATTTCTTAATGATTTTACACATGGAAACCATTAATCTGACTGTATTTATTGTATTTTCAGGGTAAATTCTTTAAACTTATATAATGTCATGTTCCATTTCACTGTCAGTCTGTCAATTTGTCTGCCAGTCGGTCAAGGCCAATATGACTGAATGGTGATCCCAGGTATAACGGATTTAAATTTAATTATTTCATTACTTTTTCCTACTTCAGCCCCACCAGAACATAAAGCTTATTATGTCAGTATCTGTGCCATGATATCACAATTTTGCACGGCATGTGGTTGGTCAAGTATGTGCGTATTTACTGCCGAATTATATCCCACAGTAATAAGGTTAGTAGACTCGATTATTTCCATAAACTGAAGAAACCTGGTTAATATACCGTATAATAACTGAAGGGTAAGTAGACTCGATTATTAAGGTTGGTGTCAATTTATGTAAAACATTATATTAAAACAATTCTATCATGCCTCTATTGACATTAAAACTAATTTAGTTAAACATACATCATGCAAGAGCTAAATCTGTCTATTGCAGGTTTTTCTTTAGGCCTAAAATGTTATCTAAATTATTAAATAGACATTAATTAACCCATCCAGACCATAATCAACTCTAGCTGGCATCGCAAAACTGCGATCGTTAGTGGATTATGAGCCGATTTATTGCATAACTTTACTTCACGACTTAATGATTAAATGGATAATTGAGACTATGATGTTTATCGTACTGACTTTAGTAATGATGATCGAGGCTAGGCGGAAATTTCATTAGCTTAGTTCTCGGTTCATAGTGGATCAATTTGAATGAAATTTTAAGCAAATTTCCTTTACATTATTTAGTTATAGTGAGAACTGCCAACTCGTTATCGAATCTCCCATAATGTATCTTTAATTAAAAGAATGTAATTCCAGTGCGCTTAGTTTTATCATGTAAGCTTATTTTTGACACTGAAGCTGTTGCAGTCAAATAGAATGTGCAATCTAGCTACTCCTGGTTCTTGAAAGGGAGATAAATAAATTTTGTTCTTTATTTCTGCCATGGATGAACTTGATTGTTTTACGTTATACAAGAATGATGATAACAAGTATTAGGGGATTTTATTTTATTGACATATATGCTTTGGGATGTGTAAGCTAGTGTATCCATGGCACATTACTTTCAAGCAATGTCTTGTTTTAATAACTGATAAATTACTCCCGTTTTAAAGGGAATCAATTTTAAGTGGAATTTATTTTATTGATATATATATTTGGGATGTATAAGCTAGTGTATCCATGGCACATTACTTTCAAGCAATGCCTTGTTTTAATAACTGATAAATTACTTCTGTTTTAAAGGGGGTCAATTTCATTACGTTACTTTACCATTAACTACTAACCTTGTGGTATATTAGATCGGTAGACTGTAATAGAAGTTGGTTTATTTAATCTTAATTAATCTAGCAAGTGACTGCAAACAGACTCTGGTATTTTAGCTCTACAGTACCAACTTCTCCCCTCTAATATCTAAATTAGTTTATTTATGATAACATCGTTTTATTGTAGAAATCTTGGTTATGGTAGTGCCGGAACTAGTTCAAGGATTGGAGGAGTTTTCGCGTCACAAGTCATATCATTGGTGAGTAGACAATGATGAGGATGGGGAAGGGTTGGGACTTTGATGTTGGCAACTCATTATTACCGCCAAATTATGTGGAATTGTACACTACCATCATCAATGAAAATACCTGATATGGTTGTTTAGTGGGTGATCGGTAAAAATGTCTGACGGGCAAATTTTTGAAAAGGAAACCCTGGACTGCCATCGTCCTAAAAGAGACAAAGGGGTGGCAAGGTCGTTTAGTGGTTGATCGGTAAAAATGTCTGAGGGGCAATTTTTTGAAAAGGAAACCCTGGACTGCCATAATCCAAAAAGAGACAAAGGTGTGGTAAGGTCGTTTAGTGGTTGATCGGTAAAAATGTCTGACGGGCAAATTTTTGAAAAGGAAACCCTGGACTGCCATCGTCCAAAGAGAGACATGGGGGTGGTAAGGTCCACTCAGCAAAAGCTAAATAAATATTTTTGACTAGATATTGTTATCTTAATAGATCACTGGTACACAATCTTCAGTTAGATAACAATCTTCTATAGTACTTTGGATCTGAAGCCATGCAATCAAACGTCAGGGTTGACCATAACTCAGTACAACAATTTGCTACTAATGGTGGGTAACATTGTAGACAGACAGGTAGACTAAAAGGCAGAACATGAGCAATGGTGTATTTTTAGTATTCAGAATAGGATATAGACTAAGGCAGTTGAACTAAAAACAATAGAAGACACATATTAAATCCAATCCATTAATATGTATATTTTTCTAAATATGAAAAAAGCATTTCTTTCTAATAATGTTAATGTTAAGTTGTTTCCCTATTTTTCATGTTCATAGTTTAGATTGCTTAGCTTCGATGGACTACTTTCGTGGATAAAGTAACAATTAATCATCAGCACCATTTACTAAATGTTATAATTAAATATTGGTCTTGTTTTATTATAATATTTTTTTATTATTATTATAAACTCATCCTATGTTCAAAATGGGCATTTTGCCCTCAAATTAATTCAAAATGGGCATTTTCTGTTTAAATTGATCAGAATGTTCAGTAATTTGATTGGTCAATGCTTTATAATGATAAATGTGCAAGTAATTAATGGTGTGTCATCTATTTATTTTCTGATTAAGGCGAGCGACACCAGCCTTACTCTTGCTGTTAGAGTGTGTTAAATTTGACACGGGCATTACTCTTGGCTTGTTTTTAATTTGAAATCCAATCAATAACCGATCTCGATGTACTATAATTGTGTGTTGAAATTTAAAGCTATACTCTTCCAGGTGTCTACGGGGGCAGTCGACACCCTTCACCTCCTCCTTTAGAGCGAGACCTCACTAATCCATTGTTAGTAGGTCTCTATACTATAATCTGAATAACTTTCTTCGTCACATTTTGAGCAGACTATATATATATATCTATTAATGCATCATTTCTGTTTTATTACAGGCTGTTAAAGGTGGTTATGTGCCGTATGTTATAATCTGTATATTAATGGCGATAGACACATGTTCCATTCTAACATTACCGGAAACGCGTGGCGAGGCGCTCGAAGATACCCTGAATATAGAGAAAAAATTTAACCTCCGGTTGTCAGAGTGTAAAGAAGTATTACAACCCGTGAAGGAGTCTGAAAATCAAAATGTCTAAAATTATATATTTTATATATACTTTAATCATCTTACCATGAATATATTCAACATTATTTTTTTACTGTTATCTTTCTATTAGACTTGTTCTAACTATTTTAATATAAATATTTATATGATTTTATATTTATACTCTAGTAGTTATATCACCATATCCCTCAACCATCTCATTAAAGATGCATTGTGCGAGAGCTAAATTTGTCTATTGCAGGTCGTTTATCTGACTTCAAATGTTGTACAAATTATTACATGAAAAACCCATTTTCAACTCTGGGTCATCGGGTGGTTTATATATTGAGTGGGTTTGGTAATGCCCTCCATATCTGTGTTAAACTTTTATATGGCCGACCAAGGGGAAATTTTCCGAAAATGCATGACGTCACGGACGGAGACTTCCGAGAAAAGGCCTAAAAATATAGTTCTACACAGCTTTCTATTCTTATTAAAAAATCTTATTTGGATTAAAAGTAATACAAAGTAATACAAATTTAATACAAATTGAATTTCACTTGACAAAATAGCCATTTATAATAGAATGATTTAACTGGAATTTTCAATATATTCATTTTCATTATCTATTTTTGAACTATTTTAGCAAAAGTGGTCAGCTCTTTGTCTAAATTTTACATAATGTATCTTTAACCATTGCTGTAGTGCAACAGGATACTGTTATCATTAATGTAAGCATGTTTTTAATCTCGGACTTACTATTTAAAGCAAAGACTAAATGTTATACATGATTTACAATAAGTGCTTTTTTATAATTTTACTCATAAGGGGGGAACAATGGACCCATTCTCGTCACTTGATAAAATCCTCTAGTGCTTATCACATTTTATTATTCAGTAAATCACTGAATAGTATCCTCTGTTAACGGTATAGTCCCGACTTGACATAGTTTGTGTCGAGTGGACGTTAAACGCCATCTCTCTCTCTCTCCCCCTCCCTCTCTCTCTCTCCTCCCCTCTCCCCCTCTCTCTCTCTCTCTCTCTCTCTCTTCTGTTGACGACTATGTATGTTATTTATTTTATAACACAATCGTGGGTTCACATCTTGTTTTTGCACCGGTGCACTAATCAGTAAAATCAGTTAAATTTTATAGTTATGCGATCATAGCTCTGTTTGAAAGTGGGGTTGGAAAATAATGCTAGTTGTGTCAAGGCAGGTGTGTAAATTCATTTATGGTTGATATTTGAATTATTCAAACATACGAACACTTAAAATGAAATGAGGTTTAACGTCCTACGGTTCTGCACCAACCGGACTACTTTAATTTCCAAATTGCCCAGTGTTACTTTTTGTACACGTCAACGTTGACACGGGATATCGATTTTTTTTTTCGTCTTTTTTGCTTCCAGGCCCTCCATCCTGCACACCTGAAAAGGGGAAAGCTTCTTCTACGATCCCTACTATTCGGTACTTTTAGCGACCAACTCTGGTGAGCGGCTTACCCACAGAGCCACTGGGACTCACACTAACAGTAAATTCGAACCAATTCTGTATTGATCACTCCTTGATTTACTATTGTACTTTTCAAATGTACCGCAAATATAGCGCACACCTTTGGGAATTCGCAACAGGATTTCACTGATTGATATAGGGTAAAGGGAAACACTTAGTAACTTTTGTCCCCGCATTAGGAAGAAAGCAGGGGAGTATTAAACTGGACTCGCATGTCTGACCGGCACAATGTTTAGCACACAATAACTCTGCTTCTAATTGAACTTAGCGTGTAACACTATCCTGGCCACGGATCTCCAGGTAAAGGGACTTTCACGGTGTGTACTTTTTTATAGATAAATAAATTCTGGAACACTGTGTTTTTATAACTATGTTTGTATATGAAGTACGGGAAACTACAGCAACTATGATAGTAAGTTATGAGTTATTATAATATCTACAGTCTAGGTTTAACAAGCCTAGAACTCAGACTTAACAAGTAAAACACTACATGTTGTCTTTATCCCGGCCTTTAACTCCAAATGATGTCTGAATCCCGACCTCTAAGTCGAAGAAGCAAAACGTCCATCTAGGACCGCTCTATGATGTCTCTCTACGCTCTCTGAATGATGTCTTCCCTACGCTCTCTGAATGATGTCTTCTCTGCGCTCTCTGACTGGTGTCTAAAAAAAATTAAACCCAAATCTTTCTTATAAGGATAAGTGTTCGAGTCATAGACTGGCCCCCGGGAAATTGGCCAGGTACTTCCTTTATCTGATTAGTCAGCTGCTCAGAAGCTACCCTGGATTTAAACACAGTGTTCTAATATGGTCATATTCGGATTAACAGACTATAATGTCATTGCCCGTTTTTAATCTACAATGTATATCTAATAAGCCCCGTTCTCGTTGTCACTTGTACTAACTAACGACTTCAACACATTAACCATAGCATCATTTAGAGAACTTAAATAACCTCTACAGTATACATAGTATTACAGGTGAAGGTATTTTTAAGGAGAATGACTTGTTGTAGTTCGATGATTAGTACCTCCGGGTTAGCGAGCTAACGTCTTACTCACTGAGACACCGTGACTCCCTATTGGAAACCTTGTATACAAAGAAATATATGGAGAGAGGCGGGTATATATAACAAAAACACAAAATGTGTAAATACATTTACTGATTATAGCATTACATAAATAGTTTACAGAAACCAGGATCGTATTTAACCTATCACAATATATTGGGGGGGGGGTGCACAAAACATGACAGTTTTAATTGTCTATACTGGTTATCCAGGCAATTACATTGTGTGAAATTTGTAGACTTTTGTTGGTACATTTGCAAAAAAATCTGAGCTTCACATACTTTCACAGGACAATGATATAAGTGTTTGTAAGAGTCTCTCGTCCTGATTTTTTCCAGTTTTATTCCCTAAAAAAGGCTTTCAACTGCTCCTAAATTAACAATTAATTTGGATAAATGCTGAATAATGATGACAAATTGTCCCAACTTAAATAAACAGTGAACACGTAGATACTTAATCTGTAGACGATGCACACAGTATTAAAAACTATAACATAGTGATATTTGTCGCATTGCAGTTATTGTCAGTAGATTCAATGCATTAATGAATATTAGTGGCTTTTCCACGAGCAACGATGCCAGTGTTTTCTGGAAAATATGTAAAACATGCACATATTATAAGATCGGCTGACAGAGTATACTGATATTTCTAAACGAATTTGTGGCGCTCTGAATAGCATCTTCTCTACTGGTGTTAGGCTTAGAGTTTTAAACAATGTCGAAAATACTATTATTGATACAAAATTTTGTTTTTGGTAGTTTTTCAAATGCCAAAGCGCCACAAACATGTATAATATATTTTAGGCAATGACTTTAGAAGTAGCCGAAAATCGGATTAACCGACTTAGACAGGCGGCCAGGATGGAATCTATGACTTATAATGATAACAGTTCTTACGATCTAGAGCGCACGCTTTAGACCATTAGACAACAACTTCGTAGGTGTTTTTTCCAGACCTTACTGAAGCAATACTAAATTTTACCTGGGATAGATGCACGTTTCGTTAATCCGTCTCCGTCATCTGTTCCATTGTCGTAGTCGGAGAGTTCATCCCCGGAATGAGAAGAAGTACTCGTACTGGTGTTGTGTATCCTGCTGTCATGGTTTATCAACCAGTAAGTGTGTAAATATCCCTTTAATATCATCATTAACTCTCTATCTTGCTGAAAACACAAATAATACATCGAAGTTAAAGGGGCTTAAGGCCATGGCTCTATACGCTCTAAATAGAATAATCAAATATCAATTGTACTGGAAATTCAAACAATACTTCCGGGATTAAACATACTCATGTTGTGAAATTGAATTAAAATTTTAAAATATATAATGAATCGAGAGTGTTCATATGTGATTATTCATGAATCCAAAAGGGCGGCCAATATACAATAGCATCATCAAATATCATCTGTACCAATCTGTTTCACAGATGATTACGAAAGTCTTCTAATGTCTCTGTAAAAGATGACTACCTTTAACACGTGACGTCTCATCAAGCGGCGTCAATTATTGGCTCAGTGGCGCGTGCATTGCAGAATGGAGACTTTTACTCATTTTAATACCCATTTGCACTAAATAGGAAATAATTTTTACCTACAAATACGTCAAACGCCTTTATTTATTTTTCTAATACATAAAAAAAAATGTTTTAGAATTTAATTTGTCGCAGGAAAAAGGTTAATATTTCCGGCTCATTAAGTCGCATCGATGTCATCCTTATCAGTGATTGTAGCGTCCTAGCGAAAATTCACTGCTGATCAGTGTGCAGTTGTATTGGAAATTCAAACAATACTTCCGGTGTTAACCATACTCGGGTTGTGAAACTGAATTAAAATTTTAAAATATATAATGAATCGAGAGTGTGCATATGCGATTATTAATGAATCCAAATGGACGGCCAATATACAATCATTTGTCAGGTAGTATTTATATGTAACTGTTGTTCGTTCAGTGGGAACACGGCGGATTTCAACCTCACCATCGTTACACATCCAGAGATTTTATTGTCTGTGTCGTAATTTTCGGGATGTAAGCCCCTAAACACTCTGTACTCAGCTCATCCGTACTGTGTTATATTATCAATCAAAAAAACTAACCTGGATTATTAAATCCTTTCTTTCGTCAAATGTAAAACCTCCCAAATTTAAAAGTATATCATGGGTTGTCTCGCTAATATGTATCCGTCCAGCTAAAATTTTAAAAACAAAATTAAAAACTTGGACATTTTATTCTAGGTTTTATGCTAATATGTATCTGTCCAGCTAAAATTTTAAAAAATGTAAATACTTGGACATTTTATGCTAGGTTTCCACTATCACGATTTGCGCTGCGATTGAAATCGTGGTTTTAATCGCGGAGTAATCGTGGTGATCTTATCAAGTCTTATAACATATTGAGATCAGTCGTAGCAATCGTGTTGATCGTATAAAAACGTGTCCGAACGTATCTCAGATCGTGGGCTCAATAGGAACAATCCTTTCGTAACGCATCGTACGACATGAGAGCCTAGCATTAAAAATAACGGATAATATGGAGGCTGATAAAGATAGAAACGACACTCGTCCAGAATTTACCATAGCAAGAAAAACATAAATTTCATTACATTGTAGCAGATAAGGAAAGATAAAAATAAAATGAAATAGGGTTTAACGTCCTAATTATTACAAAACAAATGGAATATATTATATGCAAATGTTATTTAACACCTTCCATCCATGAAATTGATTAAACGTCCTTATCATGTTATGGCCCACAGATAGTTAGTTACTACCCCTGGCCTGATTATGTAATGTCCTTTGTCTTGTAAAGCAATCTGTACTGAACGTTTACTCTAGTATATGATGCAATATAGCCAACTGCGTAACCTCTTCGACAACCCTTTGTCTAGAAAGGGGTTATAAGCAGGAATCAGAAGGAGATTATTTAGTGTACAGGCTATGGGCGTCTTTGGTTTAATGTCTGAACAAGGCTCGTGTAAGTTGGTTGGAATGGAGACGGCGCCGGTCTCGAATCCACTCCAGAGAGACGAGCTGGAAACAAGGCTATTACAAGACAAGGAACCTGGTAACTAAGTATAATTTAAGAAGTCTCGTACATGATATGTTTAAAGTAAAATAAAAGTATTATATGAAGTTTAAACCAGTGTTGTCGTCCAGAACCAATTTAAAGAACTAAAAGTGTAACATATTGTTCTGCTCCTATTGGGCTAATGAAGACGGGCAAACGCCATACAGTGTGCTATTTCTTTTTGAACAGACAAGTGATCTTTTACGTACACGGGACCTCTGATTTTGTCCCATTTGAACATCAATACAATGTTGCTTGACAGGCTCTCTGTCGCGCACCACTGACAAGGGGGAACTACACCGGAAAATTCCGATGAACTTTCTCGGCCAACGTAGGGATCGAACATGGAACTTCCAGACTAGCGAGCCAACGTTTTACTCACTGAGCCACCGCTGCTCCTTTATGTCGTGTGACATGTATTCACACGAAAAGACCCATAATCAACTCTCTAGATCATCGGATACTCGTGAGTTTTAATGGATTGAAACACAATCGCCATAAAAACAGTATATAGTTAAGTAATTTTAATGAGCTCTAACTTACGTTTTCCGAGTGATTCCATTTTAGCAGCTATACTAACACTTTCACCGAATAGACAATATCTGGGCATCTTGGTGCCCACTATACCCGCTACTACAGATCCTGTTTTCAATAAATATACCAATAATATTTCTAAATTGTTATTTATGTAATTTGGTCAGATTGTTTTATGGTTTATAGTTGCGTTCTTTGTAACCTGATTTGTGCGCTAGACCATTTCAGGCTTGGGATCGAAACCACTTGACTTAATGACATAACTTATGAACTAATCTGCTCGGACCAAACTCCACGACTCACTGACATAGATTATGATGTCAAACGCAAGCGTTAAACCACTCGAATACTCCATCCCACCCCAAAATAAACAGACTTTGGTTGTTCCCACCACCAGAATGACCTGACACACTTTACTTGTGAGCCCGCCAAGTGTTTCGCCTGACTAATGAGGACAATAATTGGAAAATCAGTTTTCGCCGGGATCAGAACTTCAGAAATTTGGGTTAAAGAGAAGAGACCGGCGACTTACCACTGTGTATTCCAATTCTAAGTTTTAGTTTGGTGCCAGGTAGGTGGGGTATCTTTAATAAGCTGATGTGATCTAATAAATCAAGAGCCATAATACTTATTTCTGCTGCGTGTTGTATACCATTCTTCATCGGTAGACCTGTAAGTAAAACATGACACTTTTTATGGGTTGGGATAGAAAGAGCATTCCATTGTACGCACAATCTTATTCAATTTAGCTAAGATTCTGGAAAATAAATGTAACTGTCATCTGATTTAATCCGCTTACGTTTGTACGAAATCGCGGTTTATGCTGCAGTCACAACGCCTAGACAGATAATTATATGCCTGTCTCACAGAGTTTACCAGCAGTGGTTATGGGTTGGTGGTGGTGGGGGTGGGGGATGTATCGTAGTTCCTCGGGTTTTGTCAACCGGGTCAACCGAAATATATGTGCCCCTAATTACAAGACTTTTTAATTAATTCAACATACCAGAAACAACCATGTAGGCATCGCCGATTGTCTCCACCTTGTAAACATCATAGAGGGCGATGCGACCATCAAAACACGTGTATAGACTGTTCAGCATCTCTACCACTTGTATCGGTGAACTACGAGCAGATAAATGTGTAAAGCCTTGAATATCTGAGAAAAAGAGCGTTGCTTCATCAAAATTCTCCGCATCCACCACCTCGTTACAAGTTAAAGCAGTCGCAACGGATTGTGGTAACATCTGATGTAGAAGGGCTTCAGTCCGCTTCTTCTCTTTGTTTAAAGCCTTCGTCCTGAAAATAATTACTACGATTAATCTAGAGTTAGATGAAGAGATACAAGCACTGGTATGTTTGCGATCACTGAATACAATTCTTATTCTTGAACTCACTCGAATATCATACAGACCAGATCGTTGTATTAGATAATATTAGATAATATTCTGAATAGTAGTTTGGGAAACTTGACAATCTTGACTACACATACCATATCGGACACTGCTCACATTATGCATCATTATGCACGATGTAAACTTGGATTAGATTCACCCGCATAGTCTGCGACCACATTCAATTTTTAAATAGCCTTAACTCCCGGGTAATCGTTGATGTCCTCTGTCACTTAATACACCTAATTCACGCAGCAATTGGGGTCGAGTATGACAATTCCTGAGGGTTTGTATTAATTCGCGCAGCTATTGGAACCCAGTATGGCAATTCCCGGGAGTTTGTCTTTAATTCATGCAGCAATATGAACCCTGGATATTCCAATATTCTAATCAAACGACCACTGTAGTCTTTAATATTTGTTTTGTTCGTTATTGTTAAGTGTAACATTAAATTGCTGTACCCGAATACAATTTTTCTTTTTACAAGAGCAGAAAATGTTTTGCTTTGTCGAGAATCAGCGATATAGTTTTTTTTTTATTTATTTAAACATCTGAAATAATACTCACCGATTGGTTAGATTAATAGAATATTTCTGTATTTCATTGGTCAGTTTATAAGCAGCGTAGATGATTATTGGACAAATGACGAAGACACAGACGAAAACAACTGAAATAGCAATGAGTTTTTGCAGGTTGATTTTTTGTCGTTCGTCCAATAATCCTGTAATTTCCTGGGCGAGTTCTGATTGTGTTTCGAGTAGAAGATCCATATACACGGTCATATTGTTATACCACCATTCCGCCATCTTTATAGATCCTAAACCATTGAGCTCATTTCGTCTAATCTCTGCCCTCATACTTGTTAAAACACTCAATGTTGTTTCATTGCCCTGATATAAAATCATATGTTTTAACGGCACATAAATTATTTAAACAAAATAAAATTACACTATTTATAGATCCTAAACCATTGAGCTCATTTCGTCTAATCTCTGCCCTCACACTTGTTAAAACACTCAATGTTGTTTCATTGCCCTGATTTAAAATCATATGTTTTAAAGGCACAGAAATTATTTAAACAAAATAAAATTACACTATTTTCTTTCGGCCCAAATTTAACCATTTTAAACGGTTTCATTAGCATTGATTAATTGATTTAAACGATATTGTGTTTATTTGGTGAGGATTGAACAACAGGCACGGCCAATATAAGTTCTTTTCTATTGATTAATTGAAAGTGATATACAATTTATGTCTGTTGCTGGGCGACCTTTTGACTAAGACCCGTCTTAAACAAAAGCAATCATTATTTTTAGTGTCATTTAGCATAGGTATACGAAATCTCTGTATATGCTTAGGGAGATTTGGAATTCTGGCCCGAATTTATCAATTTATATTGTCTGGAAGTAGTTCCCTTGACCAAAAAATTTGATTGCTTTTCAAAATGTTTGCATGAAAACCTGGGGGCGATGTACAGTACGGGTAACTGTTACCCACATAACTGTGTCTCCTGGCACGGATGTGTATCCTGATTCTCGAGCTGCCCATGTTTCCTTTTTGTTCTTGTTTTCCAAACAATTAATTTGTCCTCATGATAATGCACAAAACACAATGGATTACAATAATTACTGGGCACCTTTTCGACTGGACTCCATTAAACATGCATTATGCAAGAACTAAATATGTCTCTTGCATGGCTTTCTTTAGTCCTGAAATGTTATCTAAATTATTAATTAGACATTAATTAACCTATCCAGACCATAATCAATTCTCGATGTCAACGCTAGTCTGCAATATTTACTGGATCGGGATCCCTTTTGCTGCTCAACTTTCATTTATGATTTAATCATAAAATGGATAATCGAGACTATGTTTTTTATCGTACCGACTTTATTAATGATGGTCGAGGCTAGGGCGAAAATTCAATCGCTGAAACCTAGGTTTAGAGTGGATAAATTTGACTGAAATTTTCAGCAAATTCCCTTTACAATATCTAGTTTTTAACTATTATGGTGAGAACTGTCAGCTCTTTATCTGATCTCCCATAATGTATCTTTAAGCAAACTCTCAGTAATAATCAGTATTGTATTCCACTGTGTCCCATGCAAAATCCCACTGGCAAACAGTTTCAGTTCTAGAGAATTAGTTTCAATGGCATTTAATAATTAAACAACACCCACTTCTATGGAATTCAATTGCTGTTTATTACTTTTCGACTAGGGTTCTCTAGTCTTCACAAAGCAAACGCTCAGTAATAACAGTAATTGTATTTCATAGCACAGGGTTCTGTGTATTTCCAGTTCGATTACTAAATGACATTGAAACTAATTCTCCGTTGCGTTATGGTTGTGAAAGAATGCGTTCGCATAAATTAGTTACTAAATGCGTGCTAGCTGACAATTTAGCTTGAAATTTTGGATTTTATTCCGGTGGCATGTGGCTTCTATGTCATAGAAAAACTGTATGCTAGTCAACAAAATGAAATTTACCTTGATATTCTTGTTATAAAGAGTAGCTACCAGATCAGAATAACGTCTAGCTGATAAAAACGTGGCATTCGACACATCCTGACTCTCAGAGAACCAGAGATAAACATTACGTGAGGGGAACCGCCCTTTAGCATAGAATACCATGCCTAAAGCTCGCTCTAGACCCATGTACTCTTTGACTATTATAACTTCTAGATAGGCCACAAGACTTCTCCAGATGAACCCTGACTCTTCCTCTGTCATCGTATCGTACAACCATTTGATAAATACACGAATTAATGTCGTGTACATCTCCAGCTCTTTAGTTACTGTTTGATTCAATGTATCAAGTTCATACCTAGAAGAAAGTGGTGGTGGATTTAATATCAAGTCAGTTTGGGGCATTTTAAGGTATTCAGACGAGAACGGAGTGGGATTTCATATCCAAAAATCGTGAGTATTTCGGGCCCAACGTTTGTAATTCTTTATGTATGCGAATGACTCTTTGGCATGTCGGTGGAAACTGGGGATATCTCCGTTTTACGTATAATAGCGAGATATTAGAGACTTTTGGCAAGCGAAAATTTCTGGTCCGTATCGCGTATCCGTATGGATTTTGCGTGTGACGTAATCAATGTGTGTGTATTTCTCATACGTGATACGGCACACGGATACGGCAGCACGTATCGAACAGCTTTCATACGGAAAAGGTCCGTATAACATTGTCGTGTCCCTTTACCGTCTTTTTTACTACCTTTAGACGCTGAAATGTTGTATCGTAGCGTTTTCATGGATCTTTGTGTATTCTAGAACACGAAGGTATATATTTGATGTGATTTTAACCATGATGGTTGATCTACTTGCTAAATTTAGGGAGGCGGAACCTTGCAAATCTGTAAATGATTTTATTCTGTGGTATTCTGTGGTATAAACTTTCTGAAATGATACATTAGTGAAACCAAAAATTGCAGTCGAGTCGAAGTCGAAGATTTTTAATAAGATTCGACATTAATTTTTTTTAATAGCTCAGTGACTGTCGAGCGACTTCATTGCCTCCGGGAAATTGTTGGCTATAATAGGCACTTGAGTAGTACTGATGGTGATCTTGGTAGATATCTGCCATCATGCTGTAATAGAACTAAGCTCAGCTGATCGACGCATACGTACGCGACGCGAAAATCTGCCAAAACTCTAAAACTACATTGACGCAACGTATCACGTATACGATACGGATACGTGATACGTATGGGTAAATTCCGCTTGCCAATAGTCTTTAATAGCAGCACTGCTCGTATGCTCACCACAAATTATTACTCCATTGATGTTCAGTATGTGGTTTTTACGCCGTTGAGTTCGAACTGGGCTTTTTTTACTGATTGATTCGAATCAATTAGAAAATCAAAATGGTATAGTTAAAACAACCTGACCAATGACTAAATCTGGTTTTCAAATTTCAGAAATGTATCCATTTAAGATGCCAATAGGTTTGAGTGCGGTTTTTGTTTCATTTTAATTACGATTGACTTACCTATGCCTGTTAAGATAGGACAGAAACTTGTCTTTTGACTGAAATTCCAAGCGGGATAAAGTCGTCCAGAATGTAAGTTTCTCAATAGATCTATCCGTCTCTGGATATCGTTGTAATAGAAAGGATTTAGATACTGGACTGATTTTACTGATATACAGAGCACTCATATCTCTCTCCTTTTGTAAACTGTGGACGACTTGACCCAGTTCCACAGAGTACAAGATGGTGTTCCTAATACCAGACGACATGTAGCTCGTGAACGTGTTCACAAACGTATTGGCTGTAAGACCGGTTAGAACAGCAACTGGAATCATCACTATGGAGACCATCTTCACGAGTTGGGTTTTCTTACCAGTTGATGTTATTGGGTTGTCTGTAAATCAAATGGAAAATAAAAAAAAACGCACGGGGTTGTATTTAATCTTAAATTGTCGGCCTAAAATACGTGCATGAGTGGAACGAGAGTTTTCATAAACGATTGCAATCACCAAATGGTTGACTATGTAAGGATGGCTTGAATAAAAACCGCAAGGGTTTATACTCATCCGACACCATATGGATACAAAGCCACATTCGTAATTTCATTGAAGCTGGTTGAAAAATAAAGACAACTACTGCATATTTTCAATGACGAACCTTCCGAAACCTCATGTACATGCAAAAGCAATTAGCATGTTTCCTGCAGACTACATCGCGTTTTTATAATTTTGGTTAAGTATGAAACGATTTTGAACAAAGTTTAGATTTCATCAACTATGGAATTAGACACATGAAACTATATCCCGAGTGCGAGACGTTTATTAAGTCGCACTGACAAGGAAAGTTTGTCTATATGTTTCAGTACAAAAACACGGCGGACCCGTGTTGAACCTAATTGTCAAATTGCCGAAGCTTTGGTCAAAAGCTCAACAGCTATTGCCACGCTTGATAAAGTAGTGTTTCGAATTAGCTACCTTCCCAGTGAATCTTAGAGGTAGACTTAGCACAAAAACATACTATGACTAGGAACCGGGTCCTTTGTTAAAATCGTCTCAGGATTGAATCCTATCTCTAAATTTCACTGCTACGGTCACTCAGGGTGAAATGAACTAGATATCTATGAATGACTTAATCGTCGTCCGTTTGAATGATGCCTAAACACATATAAGAATTAACCGCAAAACACCTTGTTCTTAGTGCTTATTACCATTGCTTTTGGACCAATGGTAAACCATTAACATGATGAAGATAATATTACCTCTACATATTGATTCACATCGTAGAACATTAGATCTCTCTGTCCTCTTTAACACGTCATTTATAGCCCGGTCCAGTTCAGACGGTGATAATGATGAAACAGAATCGTTTCTCTCGTGTTCTTTAATTTTATTTGGATGAACCCGAGTCTTCGTCTTATTAGATAATGACCACGACATCGTCTTTTCTGGCTAAAGCCTGTAGCAATAAAAACAATAACAATTTTTTTACCCATGATGTTCTTGAAATATACTATTTATTTTGTATGATCACGTAGCTAATTACGTGTATTAGAATGGGCGATTCTATTGGTACATTAAAACATTTGTTTCCACACATAATCGGGCTATTTGGGGGAGATGCGGCAATCAAAAGTGGATGTTGAAGTAACATGTACAAAAGAAAGTATTGGTGCTGTTTTGAATTGAATATTTAACTTTAATCCAAAGTAACAAGTGGTATAGAAGGCCTGACATGTCAAAGTACTTTTATTAAAGAAACATTTTGCTCCACAAATTCTTCACTTCAGTCAATTTTAACTTAAACATGCATTATGCAAGAGCAAAATCTGCTTATTACAAGTCTTTCTTTAGGCCTGAAATGTTATCTAAATTATCAATTAGACATTAATTAACTTATCCAGACCATAATAAACTCTCGATGTCAAGGCTAGCCTTCGATGTTGGCTGGATTTGATTCCTATATGCCGCTAACGGCTATTGATAATTAAATCAATAAAAGTGGATAATCGAGACTATGCTGTTTATATTAATGATTTTAGTAATGATGACCGAGACTATGCAAAAATTTCACCAGCTTCTTTCTCGGCTCAAATTGGATCAATTTGACTGAAATTTTCAGCAAATTACCTTTACACTATCTAGTTTTTAACTATTATAGCGAGAACTGCCATCTCTTTATCTTATCTCCCATAATGTATCTTTAAGTTTATATTCATTCTACACTGTACTATTCATTTCCTACAGGCCATCCCATTCTACTTGACGGTCTTGTTATACACAAAGAAAACAAGTCTTTGCTTTAAAATAGTACATTGTTATTTCATGGCAGCACCATAGGAAATCAATTTAAATCAAATAGGGTTTAACGTCATGCAGTGTGCTGTAAGGAAAATTTTGCCCGTACAGTGGTGCTATGGACTACTCAAATTTCGAATTCCAACTGTCAAGGGTTCTTTTACGTGCATGCCAATGTGTACACGGGACCTCGGTTTTCCGTCTCATCCGAACAAATATATGTTATTCCTTTGGCTTAAACTATCGTCATTTAAACACATATTCGGTTATATCTCAATATCTCAATATCAAAACAACGAATTACACTGATTATTAAATTGACGATTTTATTTTATTATTCAAATGTAAGAGACCGTGCCATATTCATATAACAAAAATAATTCAAACGAACACAAGGCACAGTTCAGGGCTTACACTGAAATGATAATAAACTACTCAAATAGCGTCGGAGTGGGGTGGGGCCATATGTTATCACGTTACAGTAGGAACGCCTCTCGGGATTAACATTCTTTACAATGTCTTTTGATATGCTTTCGCTAAAGTGTGAACGTCTCTATGGATTAACACTATTTACGATAGTATCACCATTACACTTTAACAAATTATTCTTGACTGTCGCAACAGTGAGATTGTTTTCTGGTTTACTGGAGCTTTAGTAAAACTAAACCAGCGGCTGCCAGGCAGGATACGCCCATATTTTCGAGAGATGGATAGAGAACAAGCTAAAAAGAAAGTGATTTTTCCTACAATCAAGGGCCATAATTCAGAAAATTACAATTCGATATGCGCGAATATCGAAAGGAACCGAGATCTTTGGGTTATAAACTTACATTTCAAGTTTCAACAAAACCGAATAAAAAATGGGGCCTCTATAGGGTCCACAACCTTGATATACCATATTTTTACGCTATTTGAGAACGAAGGGCGGCCATTTTGTCTGTCAGTTTTGGGCCGATTTTCACGAAATTCGAACTCAGTCGTCCTTAGGGTGTAACGGTGATATAATAATACATTTTTTTTAAATCGGATAACAATTATGACCTCTATAGGGTCCACAAGCTAAGAACGCGATTTTTCGTACAATCAGGGGCCATAATTCAGGAAGTTACCTTCCGATATGCGCGAATATCGAAAGGAACCAAGATCTTTGGGTTATAAGCATACATTTCAAGTTTAAACCAAATCGGATAAAAATTGTGACCTCTACAGTGTTCACAAGCTAAAACGTGATTTTTCGTACAATCAGGGGCCATAATCCATGAAGTTACAGTCCGATACATGCCAATATCGCAAGGAATCGAGATCTTAGGGTGATAAACCTATATTTCAAGTTTCACTGAAATCGGATAAAAATTGTGACCTGTAGACTGTTCACAAACAATTGTGGACGAACGGACGGACGGACGGACGGACAGGGGCGACGACAATACACGTCCAAATGAAAATGTGGGCGTATAAAAAGACACAACATATAAACATACAATGCAATCAAAGATGTTTAGTTGTCTTGAATATATTATCTTTGTTCGACCTGTTGGGACACGGGAAATATGCAATTTTCGTACTATTGGGCTGTCAATATATCGTATAAAATGAACGTTATAAAACCCAAAGGTACAGTCAGTATATCTTTTATTATGTATCGAGCTCCCTTGGTATGTATCCAACTTCATCAGCTAGTCTAAAATAAATTTTGTATCCGCCCTTTAAAAGAAATGGAAATAAAATTCAACTATACTCTTACCTGTCTAAATCATGTACGGTTTTCAGGTAGAATGAGACAGTCCTTAACAGATAAAAAGTGTCATCATTTTAAGGATGTTTTTAACACATTCTACAGAGCAGAGGTAAAAACTCCAATGTCACCATGGCAATAAAACCTGATAATTAACATAACATACTTTTCCCCTTTTAGCCAGTCGTATTATCATTTTCACCTGTAAATGCCTTAATGAAATTGGCATGTTTCAGTATCATTTTATATAGTTTAGAAGATTATCACTCGAACGCTATAGTATTTGATACGTGAATAAAAGCTGTTTGATACGTGAATATGCAAATAAGGTATTTTCGAATAAACATGTACAATATGATACACGCAACAGTCCTATAGAAATTCATAATTAACAAAATACATAAGTATATTTGTTTAAATATATTATCTGGTATTTATTTATTTTATTTTTTTATTTTTTTTTTTTTTATTTTTTTTTTTTACATATTCATATTCAACATGCATGCAAAGTCGCTGTAGTGAAGAATTCGTCATAATGTGGCATACAAGGCATGTTGCTTAAATCATGTTCGTGCAGATTTTCTCATATAAACTCTTAGCACAGGGCAGAAGCACATTTAACGGCCAAGTTAATATTTGCTCAGGAAATGATGTTACTGGTCGGTATCAATGTTTCGGATGACGGGCACTTGGAAATAATTACTTTTTTCAGTATTATAGACCTATACTACCATATCTATTAACGAAACATTCGACACAAATTGAATGGTGGTAGGGTTACTAAATCCTAGATCCAATTTTAAGCATCTATAGCACTAAATTCGTCTGTAAGTCCCCCATCTGCTTTTCTCGCGACCTACTGTTTGCCTCTACCCAGGTAAATATCCCATAAAAGAAAATGTGTATAATACGCGATGATAACTGTCCGTGAAATTGTTTATGGACTAAGAATAACGTTTGTTTATTTATAGTAATTCTCTCTCTTTGGCGTTATAAAGATTAAGATCGTCGGAATGTTCAAAATAATTGTTATAGACCAAGAAAGGGTAGGCATTTGTGTGATGTTTATAGGAAGAGAATTAGTAGTCTTTGACCTGATAATGTATTATGAGAGTAATCCCTTTGATAGGGGGAGCTGTACCTTTACAACGGATGTAAACAATAAAAACAGGTGCTTGTTACAAAATGTAGTATTTACTTATTTATTTGTCACTTTTAATATAGACATTATATTTGCTGAAATTTCAGATGTTTATTTCACAATAGACTGTTTTTTATAGCAAATTTGTCAAAATTGACACAGGTCGTGACAGGAAAAGGCAAAAACCAACGGTTTTTATGCACAGGGCCGACAGGGCCTACACATTTTATGCCATAAATTCATAATGACATTGCAGACATGGTATGGTGAATAGTGATTGCAGCTAAGTGAGTAAGACGCTGGCTCGCTAGCCTGAAGGTCGTGTGTTCACTCCCAGTGTTACTGGCAGAGATAGTTCATTAGGATTCGATATAAAGAGTAGGGCGTAGTGCCACTGTCTGGGCAAAATTTCCCTCATCATAGCACAATGTATGGCGTATGCCCATCATCATTAGCCCAGTCGTAGAACAGTAGGACATTAAACCCCATTTCATGTCATATATACTTTCAGAGGATAATAGACATCACTTTGATGATATTATTTATAGTTAGCTTCGAGAAGTTGAAAACATTGAGATATCAATTTAATTTATTAATGCCTGTAACTTCTTTGAAAAATAATGTTACACTATTAGTATTATGATTGACTAAACATACCCAGCTCAGTGTATAGCAACACAACTTTAGCATATTATATTGCATACATTTTCGATTAAATTAATCAAGCAGTCTTCACTGACTTTCAACATTTCATTCATACTATTTACGATGTATCATGTGTGCACACAACTGTGATTCATAGCAGCAAAGCGGCTATATATTGAGAACATAGAGTCGAGAGATGAGGTAAATTATCTAATCGATGTTATCTTTAATAGACAGATCACTGTAATAGTAACAATATGATGCACTTTCTCCTTCATAATAGGTACTACTTTTATTAGCCTCAATAACACTGTTTCAGTATATTGCCATTGTTTCTATTGAAAAATGTCTTCCTTTCAGATATGAACACGTATTAAAAAACAAGAATGTGGCAGTATTTATGGGCTCACATTATCTACCATCTGGTAAGATGGTTTCCTAGAAATAACAGGCTTAAAATGTAAGTTTAAATTATGGTACATGTGTTTATGTATCTAATTCCTTTAAGTATGCCACGTCTCATGATACTGGGATCAATTTTAGACTTGGTCAGGTGCATTTGTGGGTGTCTTTCATTCAGATCTTTACCAATTTTGTACTTTTATTTTTAAGGCATATTTTGGGGCAAAAAAGTCCAAGTAATTACCATATTTTAATAGGATATATATGACTTCTTTAAATTTCCTAAAATAAATTATCTGTTTCTTTCAAAATATAAGACTAACATGGAATACTTATCTAGTCTGTTAAGATAGGTACTATACTATCCGCCTGTTTTCATGTCGTAGGCTACTATAAATTAACAGTCTGTCTCCCTTTTTTTTTGTCAGATTTCTTTTGGTGATGATATTATCTGTGGCATTCCTGGTTCCTCAACTACTGGTTTTATACCTTGATCATTCTAAAAGATGGTGTGGGCAACCTTTGTTTGAATTCCTCATCGTCTCCATTATATTGACTTTAATTATGATTGGTTGGTAATAAAACATTTTTATTTAACTTCTAATTTATGAAATCATTTCTGTGGTTCATGTTTTCGTTAGAAAATTAAAAACATTTGTTACCACTTCTCAATTATTTAATATATTCAAATGACTAGTAATCTAGTCATAATCATGGACGTACATATTATTTTAGGACACGTGAAACAATTTACAAATGACTTGATTGCCTTGAGCCAAAAGAGTTTTACAAAGGAAATCATAACTTAGGCTAATAAAGCCATTATTATAAATTGTGAAATGGAGATGAAGAATATACATTCTATCATCTTTGGTGACTTTAAAAACTCTAGTCAATTCTGCCTCATTCATAACAGTGTAGAGGTAAGCTGGATAATTTTTAATTTGGCTGATTTTTAAGCAGAAAGGGGTATTGCCAAGCATAGGTCCTCGGGTAGTGGGCCCTTGTCCCAGATACCACCCCTCCCCCTCACAAATAGCACAATTGTCCTGATGGTAATATTAGTGAAAGTGTACAAGTACATCACTTTAATCAAGAATGCAACGTTTTATTCTTGATAGACCAGTGTATAAATTAAACAATATTCTTTGTTTGCCTTTACTGCATACCTACCACTACACATTTAAACATTATATTTTTGATAGCTTTATTTTTGTTTGTAATTAAATCCTAGGTGTATCCAATGCATTGTTTTAGACTCGCAGGACTGTAGTATTATTATTATTATTATTATTATTGTTCGATTTATATAGCGCTTCATTACACGTGAAGTGTTTCTAAGCGCATATCACAAACATATACTTCAAACACACAGAAACAATCAAAATCAGGAGAACATAATTAAACACAGCTGCCTGTTAGGCGCTATTATTCAAAGATTTATATCCAACAAATCAACCGGCTAATCTCTATATTGAACTCAGTCGAGGTATTACCTGATGAACTCCTACACCAAGTAGAGTTCAAAAAATAAAAACGAAATTTAAAAGAATCAACTTCATTAACAAAAATTAAACAATCAAAAACTAAACAGTTGAATCAATTAACAAAAATTAAACATTCAAAAACTAAACAGATAAATCAAATTCAAACGAAACAAATAAAACAAAGAAAATGAAAAGAGCAGTTCATTACCATTCTACATTAACAAAATAAAGGAAATCAACTTGTGAAAAAAAATTTCAAAAAAAAATAAGAGCAAAGTAACACTAATGTTAATACTTTTTTAACGACCCTGGTTCGTCTCAAGATCTTAAACTCTGTGTATCAATCTGAAGTCAATCGGATATATTATTATTATTATTATATATTCACAATTTCACATTACATTATTATATGCGTTGCGACCCATTTCTAGGTGCCAAGAATAGCGATTTAGCCCATTAAATAGTTTTAGTTTCAAATAGATCATAATTATTATTAAGATCACCACTTGCAGTAACTGTAGCCTACCAGTGGCAGTGTCTAAATTTACTCTGGATTTCACCGATAGGCTTGCTTGCTTTTGGAGGCGTGTAAATGAGTGTCAGTCATGCTAACGTTAACGTCAGACAGTATGACAGATTCAGGCGTGGGTCTGTTATGGTGTAGGGAGGAATCACCATGACTGGCAAAATGGACTTGCATATTGCCCAAGGAAGGGTCACTGGTGTGTACTACTGTGACCACATCCTGTCACCGATAGTTCTGCCCTTTGCTCAACGTGCAGGTAGACGTTTCATCTTTCAAGATAATAATGCCCGTGCCTACCACGCTCATGTCGTGAATGACTACCTCCAGCATCATCAGATTGTCGATATGCCTTGGTCAGCCATGAGTCCTGACCCATGGATAAAAAAAAACAGTAGAGCCAATCATTTACTGGCTACATTTCTTATGAATTTGCTACCAATATTTATAGGTTGGGTGAGCTAGGTTCCTTCTCTGTGTAGCCGCATTCATATATATTATCACCAAAGAATTCACTAGATTGTAAATTGCAATATATACGACCAACAGTGTGAACACTGGATTGTTACCCCACGTACATAATCCAAAATAAATGTAGTCCTACCTAATATTTTTTTATTTTCTGCAGGATTTACCTTTCTGTTTATGGTAATGGTACCTGTACCAGGATTAGTGAAGATTATATTTCATGTATTTGGTGTGTTGGGTTTAATCACTGGTCTTTCTTATATTATTCTAACATCTAAAGCTACAGATTGTGTAAGTTTCATATTACATTTCTATACAATGTTGTGATTATAGCCAAATATGGTAGATTTTGTGAAGTGGTCTGAAGCCTTTGTACAGCAAATCGTAGGCCTGTCATTATTAGGGTTACAAGATTATTCACAGTAGAAACCAGGACATTTGTCGTTATCGAAAGATCTGAGCCTGACGTTAATGCCCGAAGGTTGTGACTTATTGAGCGTCGAACAAAAGTGCAATAAATTGTTATCTAGAGGGGTTTGGGACGCCTAGGAATTTTTTATTTCTTGAAGCTAAGAGATGCATTCTCTGCCATTTTATGGCAGTAGTGCGATTGTTACACGCAATAAACTCATTTATTTCACCACGCTACGACTGTCTGACCATGTGCAAACATTGTTACAATGTATGAAACTCTCCCTATTGATATTGAATTGTAAGTTACAATCGATCTTCGTGAAACGTATAAAATTTAAAATTTCCTTTTGATTTTAGTTAAAATCTGTTTTTGTGAAACAGGTCCCTGGACGATAAAAAGTGCCCCCTAAAAACAGTATCAGTAAAACTGGGACATATGGCAACTCTAGTCATGATGTGTCATTTCCATCATGTACAGTTCCATGCTAGTATTGCTCAAGAAGCTGCATGTGGGGTTTTCAACTGTATACTGCCCACTAAGTGTGCTGTGCAAAGGGAATAATGATGATATATACCACCTTAGAAACAAATATAATAGTGATATACCACCATAGAAATTAATGACCTATTTGGGTTGTATGGAATTTAAGAGGGAGAAAAGTAATTTCCCCAAATGCCTCTGAAGAATTTTATTTTTCCCAATAAATATGGGCTTTTTTCATAGAAAAGTATGATTTTGGCATTATTTATAGTATATAATATTTTTCTCACTTATGCAATTATAAAGAATCTCTGTTCTGGAATGTACACATGTTTAACTAAGTACACTGTTATAAAATACCAGTATTAATTCTTACAAAATCTGTTATTACCCTAATATTAACTGTTTTATTACAGAAAAACACCACTGAAGCTCTATACACATTGTCTGTGATATTAGCATCTATTACTGGGATTAGTATAGGTAAGATTTACGTTACATTTGTTATCATTCCTGTCCATTCTCCCATGATTCACGTATCGAATCGTGAGACACTGAATCAATTTTTCGTGATTCTGTTTTTGTCACATCAGTAATTAACCTGTCACTCTTAATTATCCACATCGCACATTATCCATAAGTACACAAACACTCTTAAATTGTTTTGGTCCTTATTTCAATCCATATAAAACAGTCTTATTTCATCGAGATCGGCACAAATAAATATATCAATCATTCATTTATCCTGTTGTTTTCTCGGTAAATAATGACCTGATTATGAATCGTGACACGAATCGTATCATCCTGAATGGCATATTGTGACTGCAGTGGCAATACATTAAGGATGATTGACAATTTCACTCCAAATTGTAGGTGCATCGCTCAGATAGTGTTAACATAGTACTGTTTTAAAAAAAAGAATGTCAAATTATGTTTTACTGGACAGAGAAGTGACATTACCTTCACCTCAGTTTACACAAATAAAAGATGAACTAAGCACCTTTTCCACCTATAAATTGAATTTGCACAAGAACATGTCTCTTAAGAGTGGTATAATGACATTACATATATCAAAAATTTATTATTCATTCAATTCAATTCAATTATTTTAATTTTTATAATTTCAGGTTTTTATGTGCTCATGCTTCCTTTTTGGTTGATCAATACATTTTGGCCGAAATCGGTTCTAGATCCTCCAGCTAGGACAGGAATTTGCTACGAACCTGTAAAATGCTGTTCATGTCTTTGGCACATTTGAAAGTCGGTCAATCAAAACCTTGTTCTTTTTATATTTTTGGATTCTGCTTTAAAAAGTGCAATGTTTACAGGATGTCTGGTACAACCTCAACAAGTCATTTCTTCTGTCATCTAAATACAAATTATGTTCCACATTTTTTGATGACAAAATGTTAAAACTTCCCAAGATTGCTCTGCTTCAAACAAAATTACAAATCAGTAAAAGCAAAAGCAGAAATCTGTAAATGCCTATAAATAATCAAAACTTGAATAATTGAATAATAAACAATTAATTTAACTCAGGATTTTTTAAAATAATTTTATTATAATTGTAATATAATATGTGTGTATTTATTTTAATATATATATTACAATACCAGGCAATATTTTATCTTATATTTATCTGTATGATTAGTTTTATTTTTATACACCTACATTTAAATGTCCTCATGTATGTCGTCACTCAATCATTCAAATTACTTCTTAGTCCAGTAGAGGTTACAATAATTCATAGATCTTTTTAACCCTTTGGCACTAGGAATGCCTGAAACTAACTACAGTACCCCAAACTGTCACCATGATTCACATGCATAGTAGTGTCATTTCCAAGTCAGGGTTCCCGCGGCTTCGTCAAACATTTTTTCAAGGATATTCAAGGATAAATATACGTCAAATTCAAGGATTTTCAAGGACATTTTTTAGCCTAAAGTTACAATTTTTCATCTTAAAAATAAAGAAAACATTACCAACTATCGTTATAAAACTTCTAATCTAAACGGGATTTTCATATCAACTTACTATTATTACCAATTTGAAACAAAATTAAGGATCTCAACTGAAATTCAAGGATATTTTCCTATTTCCGCGAAATTCAAGGATATTCAAGACCTTGAAAATGAAATTTTAAATTTAAGGATATTCAAGGATTTTCAAGGACCGCGGGAACCCTGCAAGTACTTTGCAGAGGGCTTGATCAATGTTTTAAAAAAAATCTGTGGGATTGTTAATTAGTGTGTAAAAATAGTCCTTATTGAATTTCAAAATTTTCAGATAATCACCTCCAGGGTTTTGCCCCTTTATTATGGAATCTTCTTTGGTTAAAACTGGTAACCTATAGATAACAATCTTTCTGAAATTTATATTGCAGTTATGTCATTTATTGTCGTCTACACCGAATTATCTTCATTAGAAGGCTTGATCTCGCTTTATCACCGTACACCTTATCAAGGCCTCCGCGTAATACTCCACATTTTTCATTACTAATTTCGATTGGTCTAGGACCCAGCTCAAGACCTTTCAGATTCCTTGATAGAAAATATTGTGAATACCAACTGAACTGTCTAGCTGTTATAATCAAGTTGCAAAGTTTTAGGTTCAATCAATGTCAAGGTTGCTGGAACTTTTTTTTACTATGAAAATGGTACAAGCCTTTCTAATATACTTCTGTTTTTCCATGATGCTAGTAAGATTACTTTTCAACTAAAAAAAGCATTCAGCAGCTGTGTAAATGAATCTATTCCTTCATGGCAGTGATTCTCAACCAGTGTGCCGTGAAATTGTGAACAGCACACTAAGAAAATTTCTCACATAAGCCAGCTTTTGATGAAATTCAAAACACTGCAAAAAAGTAAGTTTGGGTCGTTCTATGTGTCTATGACTAGTCTGTGCCTACGGTTGTGTGCCGGTCTATGACTTGCCATGTTTTTATTTTGCAAAATTCAAATATTTTCATATATATTTAGCTAGGTGTGCCGCTATTTCCAAGGTGTTCCGTTGGCAAAACAAGGTTGAGAACCACTGTTTCTGGGTTTGTATTGTAAAGGGAGACAACGTACCTTAACGTTTGGGTATTTTGAGACTAATCTAGCATCTGGTCCAAGTTCAAACCTAATGTGATTATAATATATACTATTCAAAAAAAGTAGGGAATATTTGATTTTTAAGTGTTATTAAATAAGTCACCTAATGAAACTGACGAAGAAACAAATGACAAAATGAAATGAAGTTCACATTCATCGATTTATTCCAAATGATCGTTAGACTAAGTAAGGCACAGACTGACCATTATAAGGGTAAAATGATACCCGGGGTCAAACAGCAAAGTTACCACAGCATCACAACCAAGTCAGTAACGGGTAAATCCTCCTCTGTTTGCCAAACAAGCATTGATCCGACGTGGCATACTCCTAATGAGACGTCTAAGGTCATTTTGGTCCAGATTGTCCCATTCCTGTTGCAACGCATCAGCAAGTTCTTGGACATTGACAGGACGTTGTTGACGTTGACGTAACCTCTGTCCAAGCATGTCCCAGACATGCTCGATGGGGGAGAGGTCGGGACTCAGTGCTGGCCAACATGTAAAGCCGTTCTTCCAGCAACAGTGATGCCTCCCCACACCATAACAGAACCACCCCCAAATCGATCATGTCTGATGACGTTAACGTCTTGGAAGCGCTCGTTTCGACGACGCCACACCCTCCTACGTCTGTCCAAAAAATCAACAGTGAACCTTGACTCATCTGAAAACATCACATTGCTCCAGCGTCGATTATCCCAGTGTTGACGATCCCTACACCAACGACGTCTTGCCTGAATGTGATGATCTCTCAAACAAGGGATCACGCGAGGACGTCGGGCGCGAAGGTGACCCCTATGCAGTCGATTCCGAATCGTCTGGCCACTCACTCTCACACCAGTGTCTGTTTGAAGGCGAGCGCTGATCTGATTTGCTGTGATGACACGATTTCTCAAGGCCAAGCTACGGATAAATCGATCCTGGGCTTGAGTTGTCGCCCTGGTCGACCTGAGCGTGGTCTGTCCTGTACAGATTGTGTATCACGGTATCTGGACCATAGCCTGCTTATGACAGACTGAGAAACATTCATCGTCCGCGCCACAACCGCCTGTGTTGTGCCGATCTGTAGCATGCTAAGGGCACGTAACCTTTCATTTTGGGTAAGCCGACGCATATCAAAATTTGTTTTCTGGTCACTAAAACAATTAAACTGATGTTTCCACCCTGGAATTCAATGCCACAATGACTGTAACATTCAAAGTCAGAGTCGTGCAAATCTTGGGTTGGACCCCCATGATGATCCCAAGCATCACCTGCATTCCATGCGGTAGCTATTGGTGCGTTTGGGCGTCACATGTAACTGGAAATGTTTCTTCTGTTAGGTTCTATAGTGACTTTTTTCGTAGTCATTTGCATATTTTAGTATTATGCCCCCAAAATCAAATATCCCGTACTTTTTTTGAATAGTATAAAAACTTGCAATGTACCCGACCTGTAAGAACAAAGCTAATTGAACATATACAGGTTTTATTCATGCTTCTACAGACAATACAGTAGGTCGATTTCCATTACAAAATGGGCTTTCAGATCAGTTCTTTTTTTACCTGAAGAAATCACAAAGCTACTGATGGGGCGGATGTATTATTGCCTGACAGCTTATGTTTGTATACAGCCAATACGTAAATTTCTAATCACAATATTTTTGACAAGATGGGATACGATTATTTTCACCATCCATGTAACTCACATAATTTATTTGATTTTCAAGGTTTATTATACCTTCCTTGATATAGATTCACAGACAACTATTGAGTTTTCACCAGTAAGTGAAATGGGGTTTAACATCCAGCACCAAAGTGATAAAGAAGGGCGTGTATTGTGTTAGAATGAAATACAAGCGCCATGGACCAAATTTCCTGCCGATATCAAGATGCAGTATTTCTGTGTACCTTAGCTAATTTCTAAGGAGCAATTCAGAAATTGTACATTCAGTTGCCTCCAAGCAGAAAACTCGCTAACAAGATCCATTAGTAAATTTTGTTAATTATAGTCTTTGATGCTTTTGATCCATGTGTATATCAATATGTCTTTAACATGGGCACACTTGACTATGCCATATCTGGAAACCTGGCTTGAATAATCTAACTTTCTCGGCACAATTCAAGTGTCCAACAAAGTAACCCCCTTTCTCACATAAACTAATGAAATAACTCAGAACACAGCTTTATTGGCATGGGTTTTATTTATGCACATTTTCTTTTTCACAAAAAGCCTTGGAAAAATAAAGGTTGGAAAACTTCCAAAAATCAAAAATTTGCTACTTCAAAAATTAATTAATAGCTTGGATGGATGAAACCCCCAGTTCATTCAACTAGTTCTTTAAATAACTTCATTGATTCCATGTGAAAATGCACAAAAATAAAATTTTGTCTTTTTCGGTTTTTTTTTTTAAGTTTTGTTCTATGGAACAACCAGGCCTATTGCACTTCAATAGGTCTCTTTAGTTTACAATATGAAAGATGATCGAAGTATAAAATTATGAAAAAAAAGTTGGCAGTATATAGTCATACATAGTATCTTTGCATAGTTGAACAACGGGTTGTGATCCATCATTTATAATTAGTTCTTGTTTTTATTTTGTCTCTGCACAGATAGTATGTATATTATACTAAAGCGTTAGTTTATTCACTACAAGTTATCCCCCTTTTTTCACACCTACTAGTATGGTAGGTAAAAGAAACCTTGAAGCTGGTATCAATTAAAGAAAGATGATTTGATTAAATTAAGCAGTTTCTTCACCCTCGGCTTTGCTTTCAGCCTGGGTATCTCTATCTCCTCCGTCAGTTGACTTTTCACCCTGCTCACCATCTTCATCCTGAAAGTAAATGTAGAAATATAATCAAATGCATCAATGTTTATTTTCTTATGACTTGAGCACAAAGCCAGGTGGAATTCTGCCCAGGATCCAGTTTTCACAAAGTCTAGTATATTTGTAATAGCACATTTTACTATTCAACTCTACTGAAAATCTGCTTTATATCTCTAGACTTTCATAGTGTTGTCAAGAGTCTCTTGTTCAGGGACTCTTGAAAAATCTGATGATGCTCGAGTTGGTATACAGAAAACTCAATGCAAGTTTTCAATATATTTGGAAAAACACTCTTGGTTGGTTAATAGTGTATTTAAATGAAATAAATTACCTTGTTTTTTTGTGGGCGTCGTCGTCTCCTGGGTGGGCCTCGTGGAGGACCTTGATAATATCCTCTTCTGGGTGCCTGGTCGTAATATCGACGAGGTGGTTGGTAAAATCTTCTATAGAATGGACGACGTCTCATCTGTCCGTCATCGCCATCATCTTGATATTCCTGGCGATTGTTATATCCTCTGGGTGGACCACCACGTCTAGGACCATTATAATATCGTCTGTTGGCCCAATAGGGACGGCGCCTTGAAGGCCCTCGATATTGTGGGCGATTGCCTTCCTCTTCTTCTCCCTCCACTTCTTCATCATCTTCATGCTGAGACTGTAAATTAAACAAATTTTTGTTGCAAAAGCTGGGTCTAATCAAATAACTGGCTACAGTTTACCATGGCTTCAGAGAAGTAGTCGAGCAACAACACAAAAATATCTATTAACCTGTGTGGTTAAAGGGAGGTAATAAGAGTTTTTTTTACATTAGTCACTGGTTTGTTACACATGAATAACCACTTTATTACAACAAGTTAAATGTAATGCTATTCAATATGAGGATTTTTGCCAAGACAACCTTGACACAGACCAATATTTTGCATGTAGAGTTCATTTAAACAAAGGACATAATGAAAATTCAAGTCAATACATGCTAAAAACCTGTTAAGACTTGACAATGCTAAAGAACTATAAAAGCCTAGTACGAAAGGTTAGTTTGACAAAACTTAACCCATATCAAGTTAAATTAATATGAAAAGTTACCAGGAAGTATGCTATGGTTAACAATTTGAGTTTCAGAATCTGTCCTTATAACAGTATAAGCTTACACTAAACTCACTACACATGCAAATAGTTTATAACTTGATAACCAAATCAAATTGGGTTGTCCAATAAACGTACCCTAGGTCGACCACCACCACCACGTCCCCTACCACCTCGATATCTTGGATACCACCCACCACGTTGATAACGACGACGATCGGCAGCATATTTACTACCTTGTACTGCTGCTCCTTCTGGACCAGTGACATTTGCCGCTTCAAAGCCCTAAAATATAAATAGTAACAAAGCCAGTTCTTGGATAAATAATTGAGTCTAGGGTTATTTTGAATATGATACGATACATAAAATAAATTACACTTATTTTCTTGTTGAAAGTGATAACATTATGACAATAGACCTACCATATATGCAAGAATAATTTTGTTCTTTTTTTTTTAAGGCAAACTTATGGGAAGTATAAAGATAGGTCGCCAGGCAACAAAACATTTGCCCACAACAGCTAAATTGTCCGGGCAGTGAACAAGAGTTGTCGCATATTTTTACTTTTGTCGGTAACAAAACATTTATAATACACTAAAATCTGATTAAGAGTAACAACGTATTAAGTAATTATCAGAAAATCATTAGAATTTTTGGACCCGTTCTAACATTTAGTATACAGAACATTTAATATCATGGATTTAGCTGTTCAAGTTATCATAAATAATTGAAAATCAATACACCTGTTCGTCCCAAGACCTTAAAATCTCTGTATCAAACTAAAGTCAATCGTAATGATATACATGTATAGGCATAAACACAGCGTATAAATATAAAATCAATCAGATGATAACTATGGTCGCATCCACAAGATTTTTCGAAGTGATCAAGGGCCATAAATCTGGCAGTAATTATCGGAAATTGTTAAAAATCAATAGGATTCTTCGTCTGATGACCTCAACCACTGTATAAATTTAAAGTCAATTGGATATTAAGTTTAGCCTCTATAGAGTATCAACATGCTTTTTCAAAGTGATCAACGGCCATATCTCTGGCAATAATTATCAGAAATTGTTTAAAATCAATAGGCTTCTGCGTCTGATGACCTTAAACACTTAATAAATTTAAAGTCAGTCAAATATTAACTTTAGCCTCTAGCACGTCCACAAGATTTTTCAAAGTGATCAAGGGCCAGAACTCTGGCAGTAATTATTGGAAAATCGTTGAAAATCTATAGGTTTCTTCGTCTCAAGACCTTAAACACTGTATAAATTTAAAGTCAAAGTGATCAAGGGCCATAACTCTGGCAGTAATTATCGGAAATTGGTGAAAATCAATAGGCTTCTTCATCTCATGACCTTAAACACTGTAAATTTAAAGTCAATCAGATATTAACTTTAGTCCTTAGAGCGTCCACAAGCAATTGTGGACGCCGGACCGACAGATGGAGAAAACAATATACGACCACATTTCAATGTGGGCATATAAATAGTATTTGAAATGACCCGTTTTATTTCAAAAATATAAACACCCACCTTTTCCCCTTCTACTACATCAAATTCTACTTGTTCACCATCACCAACACTTCGTAGGTATTTTCTGGGATTGTTCTTTTTAATTGCAGTCTGTAAAACATTTCATTAACATATAATAAACTCTTTAAAAACTTAATACCGGTACTTTCTGTATTTCATACTTCCCTATTTCTTGTCTGACAGACACTGCTGCTAAAACCGGGAATTCCAGAACGGATGAGGGGAGGGGAGGTCTTTAATCATTAAAACCGGTAATACTAGCCAATGATGCAATTATCAGGCCACTGGCAATACATCAAAGAGAAAAAAAAAACCATTAAAATTATCATGCAAAATCCGGCATTTGAACTCCCAATAAATATCTTGAGGCATGTTTTTCTTTACTCTTTGATATCTGTTTCAACAAGTTTTCATTCTCTATTTAATAATAAACAGGAATAGCGACAAATTGATTTACTGTAGCACATGATTATAAAATCCTCTTCAATATACAATATTACAAGGATGTCAGAATGTGCAAATTTCTTCTGATGTTAGAAACCTGATCAACTGACGGTAAGTTCTGAAAGCTACTTTTACTTCAATAAGCATGTTCAATAAATGTTTTTGAAATAAAACCCATTTTACCTGATGGACAAAAACATCTTCCTTGGTGTCATCTCTGAAAATAAAATTATAAATTTGTTTTATTTTTTATCTTGCAAAAATCAAATCCAGAAAACCCACGAGGTTGGACAGGCGACCCTACTCCTTATCACGTACAACCGGGGAATCTAAACCAGATCAGTTGACTCAATGACAGACCTTATGATACAACACGCACACGCTAACCATTCGACCATCAAACCCACCCATCAGGAACAGATTAGCATATTTGGCTAAATACAGTCTCAGAGGTCTCATAATTCTATTGGAATTAATATACAGACAAATCCATTTTTTGACAAAGCAAAGACATTCTTAGTCACCATCAGGTTTAAAATAATGGATTGCCCATTGCAATGATATCTCCTGCTATAAAACTTACAATAAAACCTCAGTAAAGATGAGTTTTGCAGTTTTTTTTTTATAGTTAAAATATTATCTACAAAGCATGTATGGGCAATAATTTGCCGTCAAAATATTAACACCCGATCTAGGGGATGATTTTTCACGGAATTCAGCACTCAAAAGGAATTTGAAATCTGATACAGAAAAAACGGAAAAGCCGATATTTGCTGATATTAAACTAAATCTCAAAACAATTTTGTATTTATCTAAGTATTTCATCTTTTTGTGCATAAAAATTGAACTTATTTTAGTATTTAGTATAGGCTACTTTCATTTCATCATTTTGGTAGGATGACCCGTGCACTTTACAGAAAGTTGGTCTCGACACGGCTAAATGTGCACGCTTCAGTTGCGTGTCTCGAACTGATTTCTGACTACCCCGCACTCGCTTTGAGTCGATAAATAGCCATGGCACGTGCAATTCTCTACAAATATATCAACTATTACAGCCTAAAAAATCTATTGTTGATGATTTTGAATAGCAGTAAAATTTAGCTTCTTGGTTATTACAGCAGCTTTAGTAATTACGTTTGTTTTATTTTTTAAATTGCTTTATCATTAACTGTACCGTTAAGAGCGGCATCTTTTGGTTTAGTACAAATACTATCTCTGAATCACTTTCTTCAGCAGGAACATGATACTAGCAGTAGTTTCATTTTACTTTTACAAGTTTCTTAAAACAATTGGTGAGTTGTCTAAAGTGCTTATTTCTAAATTCAATTTCTTGTTCTAGCTTTCTGTTATGTTTCGTAAAAAAGTAGTCTTGATTATCCCGACCTGTCAATCAGACGTAGAATGGTCGATAGACTGGTTAAGCGAGACTAATTTCAAAACAAGGGCACGTAACCTATCTTTTACTCAAAAGTGTCTGGATGTTATGGACGCAACTTGGAACCAGTTTTCAGTCTAGTATTTATAGATGATTAATGGTCATAGCTTATTAAGTACAACATGATCGTTTATTTAGTGACTATAATTGTGTGAAACTGATTTGAGGCTTGGCATATATATAAATATTGTGGCGTAATTGTCGAGATATTTGGAGATATTTATTTATGGTGGGTCACCCTAATTTTGGAATCATAAATGTACTGTAAACGAAAACCTGTCTTCCATTTATTCCTATACAGAATTACTCTGTAGTGGAATTTAATATTGTAAGTATAACGTACATGTATATCTATGTCTTCAAAACTTTCGTTATTTTATAACAGTGAATATTGTTTCATTTACTTCTTTTTAATGTCTGACATGTGTTTAGCTGCTTTCATGTGACATCACAAATATGCTGTAGTCTTGTGAATCCAGATTTTATTCCTGTTGAAACGCTAACTACAAGAGTTTTTCTGGATAAATCGCAACTATAACCAGCAGTCAAGAAAAATGGATGTCTGCTAAATAGATGAAACCAGATCACAGGGTGTAATTTTTGTTATTTAATTTGGGAAACCGGTTTGAAGACTAACTAGTCATTGAACATTAAAAGTCATTCACAATTTAATATTTGTTATCACTGGTTTAAAATGATCAGTTTTGTAATGCAAGGCATTTTACGCTGTTTTATTCAATTTAGACACTTATTCATAAAATAGCATTTTAAAGTAGCTAAGTCTCTAACTCAAAATCATCCAAAGTCTTGCACGTTGAAAATACAAATTATTTGTCAATTCAAATCAACATTGATGTTGTGATCTTACCAGGAAAAGGTAGGCTTCTGATATCCAATATTTAAGACAAAATAAACAGTGCGTTTCAGCTTCAGCGTCATTTGTAACAAGTGACCAGAAAGAACGAGGCTAGACATATTCCACAGCTCCTGTCAGTGTCAAACGGTGAAGTAGTTGTGATCTTACCAGGAAAAGGTAGGCTTCTGATATCCAATATTTAAGACAAAATAAACAGTGCGTTTCAGCTTCAGCGTCATTTGTAACAAGTGACCAGAAAGAACGAGGCTAGACATATTCCACAGCTCCTGTCAGTGTCAAACGGTGACGTATCTTATCTGAAGAGCATGCGCAATCGACTGGAATAACCAGACGCTAGAAATTGCTATTCGGTTGAGATTCATGCCGTATTTCGCTGGCCATAACTGATTTGAAATTAAGAGTCCAAACAGAAACGATTGAATGTAAATTAGTTTATATACAATCAGATTACATTATTATATGCGTTGCTACCCATTTGGGTCAATTTCTAGGTCCCAAATATTAGTGATTTAGCTCCTTTAATATAATTTTATCTGGAAAAATGGAATAATATCAGCTCTGAAACGGAAAATAATGGAATCCAAAATACTTTAAAATGAATTTGCCATTCTCTGAAACAGAAAATCATCACCCCTACAGGACAGGTCAATTTCCAAACCTTAGTGGGCGTGTCTGTCTTGGATCGTTGCCAATAATAGTTAGCCTAATACTTTACCACGTGTTTTGATTATGTTTTTATAAATACAAATTATAACCGCTCGTGTTTATCATTTCGGGTTCGTTCCATTACAATAGTGAGGTCATACCCCCAGACGTTAGACGCCTCGTTACTTTTACATCAGGAAGAAGAAAACAGCTATGTCTAGGACGAGTTCACATGCACGCGGTCTACGCGAGCTGGGTCGAAACGAAACAGGCACCGACAAGGCGGCGTGCGTGTTTTCTTACCTGTTAATAAAGCCATATCCACTTTTCACGTTAAACCATTTCACAGTTCCAGTTATTCTTGATGCTGTAAAAAGTATAATACAATGTTTGTTGAAGTTTGAGAAAGAACATGAGGCGATAATTTACCGTCAGCCTACTTATACACCACGGGGTCCGTTCGTAAACTCGCGTGTTTTGAGACCACGAGGTTTCTACTCGCTCCGATTTATTGCTAATTTTACCCAAAATTTTCTTTTCTGACACCTCAACCTGCTCTTCCTGGCTATCCTCCTGCTGTTTCTCGGAGTCGGACATGGCCCCTGGTGTTATTTGAGGTGTTTCAGATGTCCCGATGGTAAATTGGACTCAGTCTCTTTTTCTTTGTTCCTATCTCTAAGATGGCCTCCACATGCCTGTTCGGCAAACGCTGTAATACGAAAATCTGATTGGTGTAATATCTATGACGTAGTAGCTATGTCTCAACGATCATTGGCGGATTCCGGGAATATACCCTATTCCCTGAAATGCATGATTCATCTTGCATGGAAAGAAATATTTGTGCAAAGTATCGTGGAAAGAAAGAAACAAAGAAAATCGTATTCTAATAATAGAACAGACACACAGTAGCGTATCAAATTATCTTGTTGAGATATTTACTAAATTCAAACAAAGCTTCATTTGAAAAATATTACATTAAGAATAAGATACCGGTACTTATTTTTAAAATGACGATGAAATTGGACATGTGAGCAATTTCAACTAAGGCGCATACCAATAAGGCTCGGATTTAGAGGGAGCTGGGAGGGGAGGGGAGGGGGTGCTCCTGTCAAACTAAGACAAACTAAGCGCCTCTAATTAATCAGTGAGTGGCGTAGCGAGTGTGAGTGTGTGTGTGTGTGAGGGGGGGGGGGGCACACAAAAAAGAATAACCATTTCCGCCGTTTTTGTCTCACCCCACTGTACACTGCTAAAATGATAAGGTAATTTACACCAATTATTGGTTGCCACTTAAAACAGGGTAACGTTCCCCAAACCTTTAGTGGTGTAAACTGATAGCACTATATTCGGGGAGTGTTACACTCAATAGTTATAACATAGTGCCTCCACGCTGTAAAGCAACCATTTGCCCAATATACTTTTAAAAATATATTACCTAAAACAAATACTCTAACATTTGTTAAAAAAGAAACCTGTCAACTACTAAACGGACAATCGATGTTCACCCATTCTCTTATGCTTTACACTAAATTTGAACAGCATATAGCCTACTTCCAAACTCTATAACAGAAAAAAATATTGAGAGACGGATATGGATGGACAATTGAATAGACGGCCACTGATAAAAATCAGTAGATACAATCCACCTGCTTCATACCAAAACTGAAAAAAAAATGTATTTTCCATATGAAGTCTGCAAGAAACTGTAAAATTCATGGACAGGCAAACTCCTAAACCGACAGAAAATGATTAAAATTGATAGGGTTCATCGAATGGCCCCAATGTTTCACATCAAATTTGAGAATTAAAACCATATCGCGTTAGCAATACCTTTGTATGTGTGCACTGTAAAAATATCAATTTTTTATGTGGCCGAATTCCGTAGTTTAACACCCTTTTTTTTTCTGTTAATCGATCGCTTTTTTGGAGAAACCTTATTAAAAGTGTGAATTCTTTCTTCAAATTACGTGTTTTATGTATTTCTATGGAATATTCAGTATTAAACAGGAAATTTCCGTGAAATTTAGGGATAAAATGTTTTATTCTTTTCTATAATGATGAACTTAATTCTGTTATTTAACGGAATAAACGGTGGAATGACTCGGAATTTTCGTAAAATTTACGAAATGAAAATGTTTTATTCCATTCTATAATGGACTTAATTCTGTTACGGTATAAACGGTGGGTTGACCCGGAATTTACGGATTATTTCTATTTGCAAATGCAACGATAAGTAATCGTATACATATATAATCATTCCTATAATAATTATCATGTTATAGTATTCATTTCAATCTATTAACCATAATATGAAGAATCATATTTTGTAAACTTTGGTATATTACACGTCATGTATATCTAATTTGCATTATTTATAAGATCTATAAAGTTTATTGTAATATTCATCATACGTTAATCAGATTGTAAGCAGGTTTGTCTTCATGGAAGAGTTTACATACCTGCAAATTGATATAGTAACGCAAGCTTATATCTGAAAGCCTCACCCGTCCAATCACTGACGGGTATCGGTTTGTTTTATGATCATTAGGGTATTCCACATTCTTATATTAGCGGAAAAGGGTTGCGTATAAAGATTGTCTGCGATATCACTTTGGTGGAAGCGGACGTAAAATAAAGCTATTTCACACGCGTAAGTCAATGGTTAATTCAGTGAAATTTTTATCACTTTCATGTCTAGGAAACAAAAATTACCAGGATTTTATTCTGTATTTGAAAATGGAATTTATGTTAATTGAAGGAATTTCTGTAAATTACAGGGAAAACAAATACGGATGAAATTTTCCTGGTAATGTTTTTGTTTCCAGAATTTTTTACGTTTTTTCACGGATTTGTTTGTTACTAGTGTGACCGAAGTTTTATTGAAAACGTCATGTATGGTTTTCAGACCATATTTAGAATAAGCTAGGCCAGTGGTGATTCGAGGGGCAAAGCTGGGGCAAAGTCAAAGGTTAAGGGGGCAAAGGCACGAGCTTCAACTAGCGGTAGGGGGCCTCCCCCAGAAAGTTTTGAAAAACAGGTTGCCGGAAATGCAGCCTGGCAGTATTTCAGGCACTGATCGATGAGGTAAAGTGTCAAACGAACGGACTTGCGAATCACGACGAAGCCCACTCACGAGCGTCAAAGTAGGGAGTCCTCCTCCAAAAATTTTGAAAAATAGACTGCCGGAAATGCTGTCTTACAGTAGCCTATTCTGTCAGGCACCGATCGTCGAGATAAATAGATCTGCCCAGATACCGTTCGTCGCCTGATCACTAGTTTATCCGACTAGAGAACAAAATGTCAAACGAACGGACTTGCGAACCTGAACGAATTCCCCTTGTGAGCGCAAAAGTAGCGAGTCCATTGGGGACCTCGCCAAGAAAATTTTGAAAAATAGACTGTCGGAAATGCTCTACAACATGCAAGTTTATGACTGAGTGGGGATGTGGGATTTATTCACCGTAGAAGGTATTGATTACCGAAACGTATCACAATGCCCCCCCCCCCCTGGCGCCTCCACTGAGCTGGCATAAGGTTTATTGTCTTGTGGCCCAAATGCTTCACGGTAGATTATAAAACAAAACTCTTGGAAAACTCTCGCATCTATCGCGTTTACAAGGTTTACGGGGAAATAGGAATAATGCTATAACGAAAACGAAAATCTGGGAACGCGCAAATCTCTACATGCAACAATCCTTCCAAAAATCTAGCGTCTATCCGTTCATAAGGATGAAGCTCATGCTTTGTACGAAATTTTGAAAGATACGCACGCAAAGTGTGGAAATACGCCCACACAGCATCGTGCTTGTTCGGACAATAAATAATATATCTCTGTAACAGAAAATCTAACATTCCTGAAAATCAATAGGGGTCATCCTTGTTACGGAACACCGAATATCGAAAATGTGTTAAAAACGTTTAGTCTCTATCGCGATAGCAAGGTTTCCAGAGAATGGAACTGAAGATCGCCGAGCACTAAATATCATAACCCCAATGCTTCACACAAAATTTCAAAGAAATGCTTTAAAAAGTGAAGTCTCTATGACGTTAACAAGGATGTTGGAGATAGGGGTAGGATTAAGGAACAGAATGTCACAGAATGCTGAATATCGATATAGGTTTCGTCCTCTCATCGTCCCATATTCGAAAAAAATACGGACAAAGAGGGTAACTCTGGAACAGAAGTTTGCGGGGTACTGAAAATCGAAAGGCCCCAGTGATTTACACCACATTTGAAAAACAAAATCAGTTAACAACTTTAGCCTCGTTTGCATTACCGGTAACAAGGATTTCGGAAAAGTGGAGATCACTGTAAATCGATAGATGCCGTCCTCTCATGACCCCAAATTTGAAACACATCCGTTAAAACCCGTAAGCTCTATCGCGCTAATAACTTTTTAAGTTATCAGTTTACACACAATTTGATGTAAACTAACACAAGGTACAATTTTATGGATACACAATTACTGAGTTTAATACTAAGCGACGTTTCGACGAGGATACTTGAAATGAATGAAATGAAATAGGGTTTAACGTCCTACTGTTCTGCTCTTAAACTGGGCTAATGAAGACGGGCATACGCCATACAGTGTGCTATGAGTGAAATTTTGCCCGGGCAGCGGCGATACGGCCTACTCTTATATCGAATTCCAACTGCCAAGGGATCTTTTACGAGCACGCCAATATGTACCCAGACCTCGGTTTTTCGTCCCATCAGACCTCCATCACTGACAAGGGGAAACCACGCCGGAAAATCTGGATGAACTTTCTCGGCCAATGCAGGGATCGAACACCCGACCTCCAGGCTAGTGAGCCAGCGTCTAACCCACTTAGCCATGCGATCCCCACTCTCGTCTTTATCAAGCAAATGATACAGGTATGTGAATAGTAGGCAAATATATACAGAATATGCAACACAGATAAGAATCTAAACCTACACAACGGAAACTACACTGTAAGCCTTTTCTGTAATTTTTACAGACTTGTTTCTGTAAAACGCCTACAGCGCAGGTCTGTTATCCTGATTACAGACACGAGTCTGTTAATATTTAAGAAATACAGAATTTCGTCCGTAAATATGACATACGGGTGTTTAAATTAAAGTGACGTCATCGGTCTTCCTGGGCGCCATTACTGCGAAGACCGTTAGTTAGCGGCAAAGAGGAATCCCTCAACATCGAGCACAATAGTTGAACACTACAGTCAATACCAAACATTGCAGTTTTAGGTAAGTATACAGTAGGGACACATCTTTGTTTGACATAGATTGATTCTTAGCATTCGTAAAAATGTACGGTAACTGATTTATGAAATAGTAGGAACAGACTCTTCTACTTCTAGACAAATGGACATACATGATACTCACATACACTGTCACAGTGTTAGTGTTAGCACAGAGTAAAAATACACTCTGGTGTTAGTGCTAGGCCTAATATTTTTTCGCATTGTTTTTGGAGGCTTCAGTTCTAGTTGAGGCTACTCGGATGACATAATAATAACATTGATATAGAAAAAAAATATATGAACTATGAAGGGCTAACATTTCTGGGCTTCATTAAGTTCATAGTCTCAGGTCTGTAGGCTAGGCCTACCACTGAAAACCATTATTAAGAATTTATTGAATTGTCAAAGCATTGTCTGGATAATGATCTTTAATTTTTTATTTTACTAATTTTTTTAGGCACAGCTTATTGCATCCTTGAGTGCCATTCCTGTCATCTAT